TTAAGGTCTTTTATATAGGACGAAAGAAGGAAAGCAACTTGGCTGCAACAAAAACAGAGGTAAAAATTAATGTTTGTAGGCTCTGAAGACTGTGAGAAATCATTTTGATAGGTAGGGGGTGTAGATGCCATTTGCTTGTGAATGTGTGTGTGTGTGCGCGCACGTGCGCACATATGTGAAAGAAACAGAGAGGGGGGAGAGAGAGAGAGAGAGAGAGAGAGAGTCTTGTAGTAATGGTTTTTCTCCATTGGCCTGTGGAATCAGTTCAGTGTGGGATGTGTTGACTGTTTCCTGTGGCTATTCCTGGGGGTTGAGGAACTGGAGGAGTAGTTCTTAACAGAATTTAAGCTAATGATACTGCTTGTTGGATATTATTTCATTTTCAGAAAGGACTGGCTGAGGAGGGGTTGGGAAACTGACATTGGATGTCAGGTACTTATGTCAGCTTAGGCTCAAAGTAACATCATGAAGTACTCATGATCATCCCTGATTTCCAGATAAGGCAACTGAGCTTCAGAAAATTGAAATGATTGTCCAAGTTCTGCAGAAAGTAAGTAGAGGACCTCATATTTCAGCCCAGGCTAGTTTGATTTGAAACTCCATGTTCTTCTTTTTTTTTTTTTTTTTTTTTTTTTTATTAGAGACAGGGTCTTGCTGTGCTGCCCAGGATGGAGTGCAGTGGTGCTGTCATAGCTCTCTGCAGCCTCAATCTCCTGGGCTCAAGTGATCCTCTTGCTGCTGTATGGGGGCTGAGAATCCCTAAGGAGCATTCTCCAAATTTTCCAAAATTCCTCAATTTTTATGGAAAATTCCCCAAATTTTCAGATTAAATCATCTGAAAATTTAACATGAAAATACTCTCCAAGAAATGATTTATCTTGAATGAAATACTATGTTTGACAATTTCATACTAAAAGGATACTTTTAGGGACGCCTAATCCACCCACCGTTAATTACCAGTAAAATCCACACAGAAAAAATTATTATTTTCTACAAGGATTTTATTCCAGGAAGGGAGAACACAAAGTCATGTTCCATGTAGGAGGAGGAAGAATGCACACGGGGCCTCATCTGTCCCTTCTGGGCTCAGCATTCAGAATGGGCTCTTCATGTGGGTCTGGCTTTGACAGAGAGTTTGAGGAAGCTCTGTGGGCAGGGACTTAAGGAGTGGCTAGCACTCCTCCGAGCACTTTGGGGAATGCACACCTATAAAACAGAGCAATATATTCTTGAATGCACTATTAAACTAGCATTGTAGTAAATAAAGAGTTTAGTAATCACAGGGCTGGCCAAACAAGAGCAGGGAAAAACTTCTCAATCCCATCTCCCCCAGGATTCAAAGGCTGAGGTTTGTAAAGGGTACTTTGGTGGGCATGGGGCTGGAGAACTTGTGTAATTGATTGGTGGGGAATGAAATCACAGGAGCACCTAAAACTGTCTTTGTGCAGCTGAGTCAGTTCCCGGGAGGGGTGTGTGTGTTGGGGGGGCCTCAAGACTAGGTGGTGTCTCTTGGTCTACTGAAACGCTAACAAATGTCTAAAAGACCAATTATTTAGGTTTCACAATAGTGATTGATATGGTTAGACTTTGTGTCCGAACCCAGATCTCATCTTGAATTGTAATCCCCATAATCCCCACGTGTCAAGGGAGGGACCAGGTGGGAGGTGATTGGATCATGGGGGTGGTTTCCCCCGTGTTGTTCTCTTGATAGTGAGTGAGTTCTCGCGAGATCTGATGGTTTTATAAAGCAGTTTTCGCTGCTCTTGCTCACTCTCTCTCTGGCATGCCGCCATGTTAAGATGTGCCTGATTCTCCTTCCACCATGATTGTTTCCTGAGGCCTCCCTGGCCTTGTGGAACTGTGAGTCAACTAAACCTCTTTTCTTTATAAATTACCCAGTCTCAGGTATGTCTTTATAGCAGTGTGAAAACAGACCAATACAGTGATGTTATCTTTGGTAGTTGGGGAAGTTATAAATTTTGTGACATTGGTTATGTGACTGGGGCAGTAAACAACTTACAGAAAACAAACTAAGCCATGGCGGGACATTGTTTATGCCTATTCTTTAGCAAAGTCCAAGCCCCTACCATAATTCCAACCTTGCCTTACGAATGTGGCTTTAAGCTCCAGGCAAGGAGGTGGATCATTTTCCCTTGACTCCAAGTTTAACTATAAACTAAATCCCTCTCATAGTTATGTTGGCCTTTGTAGTAGAATAAGCAAAAAGCCAACCCCCCAAAAAAAATCCCCCAGAAAACATAATTTAGCCTGGGAGGTTAGAAGCAAGATGGAGTCAGTCATGTTAGATTTCTCTTATTTATAATTCTGCAAAAGCAGTTCAAGAGTCACCAGACTGTTAAAGGATTTCCATACTGCAAACAAGCTTAAGGACACCCGAAAGAAGAAAGAAGAAAACTATTTTTAAAACATTTTTAAAACGACTTCCTTCCATCGCAATCATCAGATTGTGCTACTAAATGTCGATGAGTTCCTGAGAGATTCGGAGTCACTGCAAGATACCAGGGCTCTTTTGGAATACTGGGGTCATTTATTTTTTGCTCTTTATCATCTACAAATTGTGTCTGTGTTCTCTTACCAGACACATGGAGTGTCCTTACCACTGATTAAACATTCAGTGCCTGGAGGGGATGGAGTGGGTCATGGGAGCTGACTTTTCCTTCCGAAAGTCGTAGGGATGTCCTTCTTAAAGCAAGACCACGATTACTAATTAACTAAAAATTCTGATCCTGGAAATAAAAGCTGGCCATTCATTTGCATTTGAAAGCCATTAACATTTTCTTGATAGGTCAGTAAATAGTTACCAGATCTTTGGTTGCTTTGGTGGACTGTGCTCCTCTGCTTTTATTGCTAAGCCATCCTTCAGGCAGAGAGGGAGCGGCTGCAGGAGGTAATGAGGTATGTTTGTGAACCTTGGGTTCTTTTGTGGTTACAGATGTGTGTCTACAAGTGTGTGTGAATTTGAGTTGGTCTCCTTTAGTCAAAATGCCCTTGTCAATTTGTTAAACACAGACAAAGATAAACAACACCAATAATAAATCAAAAATTATGCACATGCATACACTTGGAACAAAATTCTCATTTATCTTCTTTTCTTAGTGTGTGTATATTTTTCTGAACTAAGGCCAGATCTATAAGCCTGATTGTAGTGAAACCTGTGTGTTTATGTGTGTGTTTCTGTGTGAGGTGTGATGAATTATTTAATACTTAGGTTGAGGTAGCAGGCAGAAATTCTTTCAGATTCTGGAAATGAGGTGAGAGAAATGAATAAAAGGCGTTAGAATTTGGGAGTGAGATTAGAGCATTTCTCTCTGAAAGGATGTGGAGTTGTGATTGAGAAAATGTAATTGGAGAACCAATTATAGTCAGAAAATTGAGAAATCTATCACTATGCTTATGGGTTTGGTACCTCTGTTGATCAAATACAGAATAATTTTAGGGAATAGGCTGAGGGTGTGTGTAACAAACTGGGATGCATTTATGAGTTGGTATGCACTGGGGGTTAGGAGTGGTTTCCTGTGGAATCTGGAAGATCGTAAAGAGAAAGGTAGGGTATCTGTCCTGGCAGTCATGTGTGGAGTAGAATGGCAGTGCCCGTGGGAAGAGGAGAAGGTGATAAATTGTTTTTGGCCCTCCCTGGTAAAACTTAAAATAAAAAAAAAATTGGATCCTTACTAGTTGCCAGAGTCTAGCTAGACACATGCAGGCATTTCTTTTCTGACTGGTTACAGAGGTGGGAAGGGAGAGTTACTCTTGGGGGAGAGAAAGAAATTGAGACTAATCCCCATGGGTCTCCCTGAAAAAGGATATCAGTAGGTTCTTGTTGCAGAATCTAATCAGTGGCTTTGCTGGGCAAGGAGGACCTCCCAGTGTCCAAACTGTCTACAGTCTGTGTCCTGGTGTGGGACAATAAGTGTATGTCTGCAGGTGTGCCAAGAGGGGGTGAGATGGAGGGGGTCTTTGGTTTGTTGTGCTGGTAGGACCCTGTGCTACCAGGGATCAAATGAAGTGCTACGCTAAATTTAAGACAGCTCATTGCTATTTCACTCACACTTTGACAAGACGCCAATGATCATTTTTTATTATCAGGAATTCCCTCACCAATAAATTTTAATGAGCTGATAAAATTACTATAAAAATTGTTCTGTAAGCAGGGAATGGAACTAGAATAAGAAATTTTCCATTTAAAATTGGTTCAGGTGGCAGCTGTGGAATGTGATGAGAAATATAAGCCTTCACACACTGTTGCCGGGCTTGAGGAGGAGTTAGCTGTCTCCTAGAGATGATCCCTTTGCAGTTCAGATGGGGAAACTGAGACCCAGAGGGGTTAAGTTGTTTTTCCAAGGTCACACAGCAGTCTAGGGTAAGAGCTGACTCTTAGATCTCTCACTTTGGATGTGACCAGACTTGCAAGAAAAAAGCCATTCATTAGCTACCTTATCCCTTCCCACTCACCAAGCAACCTACTAATATTGCCCAGCATTTTTGATGAATAGCTATGGCTTGCTGGGGTCCTCTTTGCAAGTTGTTCTTGGTCTATCTACAATGAATCCTCTTTTCTACTAGATCTCATGCCTTGTGTTAGCAAAGGATTTTAAAAGAATGGCTTAGACCTCCATGTACACATCAAACACTGGCCATAATGCCGAAAAGAGGACAAATATCTAGTTTTTCCAAATTAATTTAGATAGCCATTTTAGTAATTTGGGCCCCCATGTGATTTGTCTACTTTGCCTAAAGCACTATGACAGTACCAGGACAATGAGCTTTGACAATTATTCATATACTAAATAATTCAAGAAGAAAAAAAATTCTATTGCTTTTGCATAATGTATATATATATTAATAATTCTTTTTTAAAATTTTACTTTAAATTCTGGGATACATGTGCAGAACGTGCAGGTCTGTTACATGGGTATACATGTACCATGGTGGTTTGCTGTACCTATCAACCCATCATCTAGGTCTTAAGCCCCACATGCATTGCGTATTTGTCATAATTCTCTCCATCGCCTAGTCCCCCATCCCCTGACAGGCCCCGGTGTGTGATGTTCCCCTCCCCATGTCCATGTGTTCTCATTGTTCAACTCCCACTTATGAGTGAGAACATGTAGTATTTGGTTTTCTGTTCCTGTGTTAGTTTGCTGAGAATGATGGCTTCCAGTTTCATCTATGTCCCTGCAAAGGACATGAACCCATTCTTTTATATGACTGCATAGTATTCCATGGTGTATATGTGCCACATTTTCTTTATTCAGTTTATTATTGATGGGCATTTGGGTTGGTTCCCAGTCTTTGCTATTGTAAATAGTGCTGCAGTAAACATTCATGTGCATGTGTCTTTGTAATAGAATGATTTATAATCTTTTGAGTATATACCCAGTAATGGGATTGCTGGGTCAGATGGTATTTCTAGTTGTAGATCCTCAAGGAATTGCCACACCGTCTTCCACAATGGTTGAACTAATTTACATGCCAAACAGTGTAAAAGCGTTCCTATATATATATAGTAATAATTCTTACATTTCAGTACGATTTTTTTTTCTGACCAACCTAATTAAAATTGCAACCCTTACCCCAACATTCCTCATTTATCTCCCACTTTTTCTCCATATACTTATACAGTATAACCTATTGTATATTTATTTATTTTGTTTATTGTCTCTTTTTTCTACTTGTGGGAATGTAAGAATCACGAGGGCAGGGATTTTTATCTGTTTTGTTCATTGTTGTATAGCCAGTGTTTGAAAGAATGCTTGGCACATTGTAGGGACTTAATAAATAATTCATGAATGAATAAATAAACTGCAAGCAGATTTCTTTCTTCCAGAGATATAGCTTAGATAATGATGAATGAACGTGGCACATAAGGCACATCAGTAGCTTCTTCCAGGTCTCCCAGGTAATTTAAAACAGTGCTATGGGCCATAAACTTAATGTGGTTTTATTTGATAAAACTACAATCTCACAGAAAGCCCAAGCTGGTGTACATTGTGGGGCATTATAGCATAGCCTATAGAGTAACGGTTGAAAGCCATGGCTGTGGAGTCCAAAGGGCAGGTGTTCAAATTGGGGCTCTGCTCCTTATCAGCTGTATGACATCAGGCCGGTTATTTGATGTTTCTGAAGCTTAATTTTTTCATCTGCAAGTGAGGATAGTAGCCATAATCAACTTGCAGTTGTTATAAAAATTACATGTGACAAATTGTGGAAGCCTCTTAGGATATCTGCTCAATCACTGTTAACCATTATTATCATTAGCATTAAAATTGCATAATTATGTATTTGTCCTATAAAAATAATAGTCAAAGATTAAGGACAGATTACCAAGTAGTGGTTTTTTAAAAAACATTTTTAAAAGCACTTAACCCTATTTAAATTATTTCCTTTTTATTTGCCTCTTGCCATTTTTCTTGATCTTAGTTTTTCTTCAATTGCATTTCTAATTGAGATAGGACGCTTCACCATCAAGGGTTTTATAATGCAGGAAGTAAGGTCAATCAGATAATGCTGGAGTTTTTTTTAAGGTTTAAGGAAACCTTTCTCTTGTATAGCTAGAAAATAGATATTATTGTTCCGTAGAGCAAGTAACCATATTTGAATATATGGCGCAAAAGGACTATTGATAAACAGCAAGTTTTTAAAAAAATGTTAATGATATTTTATTAAAAAGTCATATTTACCTATGCATATTAGTTATCTATTGCAGGGTAACAAATTACCTTACAATTTTGTAGTTTAAAACAACAAACATTTATTATCTCCCGATTTATGCAGGACAGAAATATGGGAGTGGGTTAGCTGAGTGGTGCTGATTCAGGGTCTCTCATGAGTCCGGCCGAGATGTCAGCCAGGACTGCAGTCATGTGAAGGCTTGAATGGGGATAGAGGCCTGCTTTCAAGGGAGCTCACTCAGATGGCTCTTAGCAAAAGACCTCAGTTGTTTGCTGGAAATTTCCATAGTCCTGCTTGAATGTTATGATGGCATGGCAACTGTTTTCTTCAGGAAATGATCCAAGAGAAAGAGCAAGGAGGAAGCTGTAAAGCCTAGTCTTGAAAGTTAGATGCTATCCCTTCTCCATATCCTATCTGTTGAGAGTGAGTCACTAAGTCCAGCTCATCCTCAAAGCGGGGGGTGGTGGGGACTTGGCCTACCTCTTCAAGAGAGGAGTATCAAATAATTTGTGAAATTAAAAACACCTGCCATGTCGTGATTTTTAAGTAACATTGTATTATATTTTACTTCACATATTTACTGAGTACTGTCTCTATGGATATTTACACTGTCCTCAATCTTTTGCTATTACATGTAATACTGTGATGAAAAACCTTTATTTGTATATACATTGATTCCCAAATGTGTAAGTGTATTTATGGGATGAATTTCTATAAATGCAATTGCTGGGTAATGGGCGTGAGTAATTTTAATAGTTTTGGCCGAGTCTTCATTGAGCATAGGGTGTTTATAGTTTGACCAGCAATGGGTGGGTGTTTCTTCATAGTGTCTAACATAGTGTGTTAATAAACATTTGGAAAAAAATTAAATATTATTATAAAAAGCAATCTCACATCTTATAACTATTAGCATCTACCAAACAGGAGACATGGTCACTTGGATAGACATTCTAACTCCTCTTCTTATCAGTGAACATAAGATCACTCTTTGCTTTATTAGTTTATTTAATTATACCAGGCATGAGAGGTTATTAATCTTTATGGAATTTAACAAGCAAATTTAATTTTATAGGATTTCTTATGAAGCTCTTTGGAATGTGAGATAGTGGAGACTGTCATGGTAAGAAAGACTAGAACTGGAATTTATTCTAGAAAACACAAGGCAATCCTTGTTGTAGAGAAAGGTTGCTTTCACAGCTCCATTTCCTTTTGCATAGTAAGAGGGCATTATGTTGACTAATAGCAGTTTCTTATCAATGTATGAGAAGTAAGTCCTCTTATTCAACCAGTCCTTGGATAAATGACTAAGGAAGACTGCTTCCTACTGAAGAGAATATGGGAGGAAACGTTGATTGGGTGGAGAATGAGACTGCAAGGAAGTATCAAACAATTCCTGATTTAGGGAGTCATGAACTAAGACCTCATAGGAGAAGAAAGGGGATGTTCTTTTTGAGTAAAGAGAGTATGATTTACAAGGCAGCCTGGGAAAGCAAGCGTTGGTGGGTTGGTGGGGAAAGTAGGCCTTGTATAGGCAAGACTGCAGCTATGGCTCCTCTTCCTGGCTTTCTACACTTATGTCCCAGGCAATGCATGAGTCATTCAACACATGGGGCCATAAAGCACTTAATGGAGGTCATACCGGAGCAAGTGAACCAGGACAGCAGTCAGCATTGTTCATCAGCTGCTCCACCAGAACACCAAGTCGGGTGTGGTGCCATACTCAGGGAAAGTAGGACTGACATATTTTGTAGAAACGTTCTGTTTCTTACCTAGGACCCACTACCTGTCTTCTCTTTGGTAAATAATAATATAATGAGACCTATGCTTTAAGACTTAGAATATTTTTATTTGATTTCCACAATAAGAAGCTGGCAATAGATAATAATAACAGAAGAAATTGTAGTTTCATTTTACAGATAGGAAAATTGAGACTCAAGAGTATTACATAAATTGTTACAGCTACCACAGCAAAAAATGGTAGGGTTGGAAATCGAGCTCAGGGATTCTCGTGCTCTATTTAGCACTGCCCTCTCTTCCGAGAAGGACTTGGGGATAGAATTAAAAAAAAAAAGACACTAATGAAATGTTTAGCACATGTGTCTTTTGTGAAAGGGAGAAATAGAATAGTGTGAGATTTCTGTGACTCACTTGAAAACGACTTTTAAAAACTAATATTGAAGCCAACATCACCCTGATACCAAAGCCAGACAAAGACACAACAAAAGAATAAAACTACAGACCAATATCCCTTATTAACATAGATTCAAACATTCTTGACAAAATACTAACATACTGAATCCAACAGCACGTGGAAAAGAGAATACACCACGATCAGTGAGTTTTATTACAGATATGCAAGGATAGTTCAACATGCACAATTCCATAAATGTGATTCATCACACAAATGGAATTAAAAACAAAACCCATATGATCATATTAATAGATGTAGAAAAAGTATTTGATAAAATCCAGCATTCCTTCATAAAAAAACCCCTAACAACCTTGGTGTAGAAGGACCATACCTCAAAATAGTGAAAGCCATATATGAAAAACCCATAGCCAAAATCATACTGAACAAGGAAAAGTTCAGTATGATTGAAAGCATTCCCCCTAAATGGAGACAAGACAAGGATGCCCATTGTCACCACTCATATTCAACATAGTACTGGAAGTCCTAGCTACAGCAATCAGGCAATAGAAGAAAATAACACGCATCCAAACTGGAAAAGAGGAAGTCAAATTACCTCTGTTCACTGATGATATAATCTTATACCTAGAAAACCCTAAACCCTCCAAAAGACTCCTAGATTTAATAAATGACTTCAGTAAAGTTTCAGGACACAAAATTAATGTACAAAAATTAGTAGCATTTCCATACACCAATAACAATCAAGCTGAGAACCAAATCAAGAACTCAATCCCATTTACAATAAAATAAAATAAAATACCTAGTAATACATTTGACCAAGGAGGTTCAAGGATCTCTACAGACAACTATAAAACACTGATGAAAGAAATTGTAGGAGACACAAATTGGAAAACATCCCATGCTCAAGGATTGGAGGAATCAGTATCATCAAAATGACCATACTGCCCAAAGCAATCTACAGATTCAGTGCAATTGTTATCAAATTACCAACATTGTTCTTCACAGGTTTAGAAAAAACAATCCTAAAATTCATATGGAACCCTAAAACAGTGTAAGTAGCCCAAGTAATCCTAAGCAAAAAGAATAAAGCTGGAGGTATCACATTACCTGACTTCAAATTACTCTAAAAGACTATAGTAACCAAAACAGCACAGTACTGGTATAGAAATAAACATATAAATCAGTAAAAAAGAATAGAGAACTCAGAAATATAGCCACATACCTACAATCAACTGATTCTTGACAAAAATATGCACTGGCGAAAGAACTCCCTATTCAATAAATGGTACTGGGAAAACTGGAATGTCATATGCAGAAGAATGAAATCTCTCACCATGTACAAAAATTAACTCAAGATGGATTAAATACTTAAATGTAAGACCTGAAACTATAAAATTCCTGGAAGAGAAACCTAGGAAAATCTCTCTGAACATTGGCCTAGGCAGAGAATTTATGACCAAGTCCTCAAAAGAAACCACAACAGAAACAAAATTAGACAATAGGAGACTTAATTAAACTAAAAAGCTTCTGCACAGTAAAAAAAAAAAAAAAAAAAAATAGAGTAGACAGACAACCTACAGAGTGGGATAAAATATTTGCAAACAATGTATCTGACAAAGGGCTAATATCCAGAATCTATAAGTAACTCAAACAACTCAACAGGAAAAAAAAACCCTTAACCCCATTAAAAAGTGGGCAAAGGACATAAACAGATATTTTTCCAAAAAAAGGCATACAAGTGGCCAAAAAACATGAAGAAATGCTCAACATCACTAATCATGAGAGAAATGCAAATTAAAACCACAAATGAGATGTCATCTTGCACTGGTCAGAATGGCTGTTATTAAAAAGTCAAAAAACACATATTGGGGAGGATGCAGAAAAACGGAAATGCTGATACAGTTTTGGTGGGGATGTAAATTAGTGCAACCTCTATAGAAAATGGTATGGAGATTTCTCAAGGAACTAAAATTAGAACTACCCTTCAATCCAGCAAGTTCACTGCTGAGTATCCATACACAAAAAATAAATTGTTTTATCAAGAAGGCACTGCAATTGTATTTTTATTGCAGTAGTGTTCACAATAGTAAAGTCATGAAATCAACCCAAGTGTTCATCAACAGATGATTGTATTAAAAATGTAGTGTACATATATACCACGGAATACTACTCATCCATAAAAAACAATGAAATCATATTTTTATAGCAACATGGATAGACCTGGAGGCTATTTTTTTCTCCATGAAATGACCCAGAAACAGAAAGTAAAAAACTGCATGTCCTCACTTATACATGAGAGCTAAACAGTGAGCATATATGGACATACAGAGTCATAGATGCTGGAGACTCCAAAAGGAGAAAGGGTGGGAAGGGGGTGAAATACTACTTATTGGGTACAATGTACACTATTTGGGTGATATGTACACTAAAAGCCCAGTCTTCACCACTATGCCTATACATCCATGTAACATATTTGCACTTGTACTCCTAAATCTGTAAAAATTAAAATCAGTAAAAAATATTTTTAAAATGTGAAAAAAATGCTGGTAGGAATATCATAGATCTTCTAGTTGAATTTCTTTCATTTGTAATTGAGGAAACTGAGAATGAGAAACCTTAAGTAAATTTTCCAAGGTAATCTAGCTGGTTATTTTCAAAATGAAGATTGCAAAAAAGAGAATTAACTAGATTTAAAGTCTCCTGGAAGATGCTATATCATCTATGTACAGTTCTTGCTAAAAAAACAAGCTTAAATCTGATAAAAACTATAAAGCTAATAATTAATTTACAGGAACTATAAGGATAGAGAAATATGTTAGCATGCATAGAGATGTAATCAATAAAATTCAGACTGCAGGAAAAATCTACAGAACAAATTCTGTTTATTAAAAAATACATAACAGATATAAACCAATTACGAGATATAAATCTTACTTGCATCCTCAAGAGAGCAGAACAAATTGTAAAAGTTTATCAGACAATGAAAGAAAATTCAAAATTCACTAGATATTTGATGACAGTAAAGAATTATTATAAATATATGTTAGGTGTGATAATATTTTGCCTTTTGCAAAATTTCTTATCTTTTAAAGAAACATGCTGAGTATTTTTATATTAAAAGACATGAGACCTGAGATTTGCTTCAGAGTAATTCGGGGTAGGGAGAAAAGTGGACCAGAATAAAGACAGAATGAATTGGCCATGAGTTGATAATTTTTTAATTTAGATAATGGGGGCTTGGGAGGCTTGTTACAGTATCCATTGCATGCATTTGAGCTTTTCCATTAAAAATCTTACTAGTTATATAGTAAATCAAATTCACATCTAAAATTGTTTTCTCTTACTTTTTAGAGATGGCAAGAAAGAAGCTGAAAAAATTTACCACTTTGGAGATTGTGCTCAGTGTTCTTCTGCTCGTGTTGTTTATCATCAGTATTGTTCTAATTGTGCTTTTAGCCAAGGAGTCATTGAAATCAACAGGTAAGAAGTAACTCTGGGGCTCTCTCCATGTGTTGTTTTTATTAGAGCAAATCTTCATCAATGGCAGGAAAGTAATACTTTCATGCTCGTGTGTGTGTGTTTGTTGCGGGGGCTGTTATATGTGTGTGTTCTACATGTTTTGGGCAGCTCAGTAGATATTCATTGTAGGTTTAAGTTGTGATACTTTGATTTAGCAATTAATACATTGCAGGATTCCATAATTGACATTTTAAATACATTTGCCAAATTTCCTTAAATAGCTCTAATTCTGCTAAGAATGGTAATTAACAATACCCTTATGTGAAAGGCAAGCAACTGAGTATATGAGAAACTTCAAAAAGTTTGTGGAAAAATAGAAATATAGAAATAGAAAGACAGAAAGATAAAAATAAAAACAATAAACTTTATTTCTCAATGTAAACTCCATCAAGTTCAGGACACTTCTGTAAAAGATGATACCAGCCATTTAGTCTATCCATAAGAACTAAGGGTCCTGGGAATTTAACCTTTTTAATGCAGTCTTTTTTACATTATTAACTGAAAAAAATGAGTGCCCTTTATAGATTTTTTTAAGATTAGGAAACTAAAAGAAGTCAAAAGGAGCCAAATAAGAACCATAAGGTGGATTTCCCATCAAAACTCTTGCAAAATTGCCTTTGTTTGATGACGAAATGAGCAGGAACTTTGTGGTGGTGGAGAAGGACTCTCTGTGAAGCTTTCCTGGGCGCTTTTTCTGCTAAAGCTTTGGCGAACTTTCTCAAAGCACTCTCATAATAAGTAGATGTTACTGCTCTTTGGCCCTCCAGAAAGTCAACAAGGAAAATGCCTTGAGCATCTCAAAAAACTGTGCATGACCTTTGCTCTTGACTGGTCCGCTTTTGCTGTGACTGGGCCACTTTCCCCTCTTGGGAGCCATTGCCTTGTGCTTTGTCTTAAGGCTCACACTGGCAAAGCCATGTTCCATCTCCTGTTACAACTCTTGAAAGAAATACTTCAGAATCTTGATCCCCACTTGTTTAAAATTTCCATTTAAGGTTCTCCTCGTTTGCAGCTGATATGGGTACAACAATTTTGGCACCCATAGAGTAGAAAGTGTGCTCAACTTTCATTTTTTTCAGTCAGAACTGTGTAAGCTGAACCACTTGAGACATCCGTGATTTTGACTATTTTTTTTGCTGTTATTTGTCAGTCTTCTTCATTAGGGCATGACAAAATTAATTTTTATCTTCACAAATGGATGTGGATGGTCTGCTGCTGTGGGCTTCATCTTCAATATTGTATTGGCCCTTCTTAAAACGAGTTATTCCTTTATAAACTGTTGATTTCTTTGGGGGCATTGTCCCCATAAACTTTTTGTAAGTATCAGTGATTTCACCATTTTTCCACCCAAGCTTCATCTTGCGTTTGATGTTTGTTCTTACTTCAATGTTAGCAGAATTTATGTTGCTCTGATAGGCGCTCTTTTCACACTGATGTCTTATCTTTCCTAGTGCCTCAAGCTAAGTCCTGTTCAGACACGTTGTAACAATCTACTGTGAGTTTATTTTAGTACCAAAAATATTTGAAATTTCTACATAGTTTTTTCATAATACATATTTTTCATGGACTTTCTGAAGACCCTCATCTAATCAAAGTTTTTTTGTTTATTGAATTTTTATATCCCCAAAAGGAGCTGGATTATGCAGAGTTATCCATGGTTTCTTATCTGATTCATCTAGGAGCAACTTCCTAGGAGAACCAGGCAATCAAGGGTTAACCTGTGGCTTCTCTGCCCCTCCTACCCCACCCTTGTTACAACAATTTCTACTCTTTGTAGAAAAAAGTCCCAAAGGTTGCTCAACTCTTAAAATTATGTGATTCTAAAGATGTAACTAAAACCATTGTGCAGACATTGGCACAATTTGAATCTGAAACCCCGAATGAAAGGAAAACCAATCAAAAGACTAACTGTTTTGTCTTAATGTCATTATTAATTTATTGTAGAACACCTTCAAGAAAGCTCACCTCCTTATTTTAGGATACAATAAAAACACCTTTTCTAATTTACTGATTTTTAAATCGGAAATCAAAGTTCTCCAGCCCTTAGGTAAGTCCTAGCTGTCAGTTTTTAGACTGGTGGGCTCCCTTTACATCTTTTGTCATATAGGACTTTGTATTTACGGAAGAATGATGTTGCTCAGAAGCATTCTTTGTCCTGGGGATGGGCTGTTGACTGAGCAAGCAAAGTGAAGGTTACTGTGACTAGGATGGCACTTGTACTGCACGTGTTCTGTGTGCCCTTGCTGCTGGGGTTGGAAGTAAAGAATCAGATCAGAGATCTGCAGACTTTACTGTAAAGGACCAGATAGTAAATGTTTTAGATTTTGTGGGCCATACAGACTCTGCCATATGACTTAATTTTGCCCTTGTAGCACAAAGCAGCTAAAAATAAATGAGTATGTAATGTGTATAACATGTAATGTGCATGTGTGTAATTTTCCAGTAATACTTTGTTTGTAAAACAGGCTTTGACTTAATTTGGCCTGAAGGCCATAGTTACTGACCCCCAGACTAAAGGAAGGGTGGTCCCCAACTTCATGAGCTTCTAGTCTAAAGGTGGAGTGCTTATTCTTATACATACCATCTTGTAGGGGATGGAGTTGGGAGTAGAAGGAGATGGTGTAGAGACACACAGAGGTAAATACAGTCAGCAGGAACAAAGTGACATTTTATAAAGTGAATGCATAAATTTTGAGGTCATCAGAGTGAAGCCCACTCAGTAGTGGAGTTAATTGGAGGTGCTGAGAACTATTGAATGTCTGTGAAATTAAATTTGTTTAATGGTCATTTTATGTTTGCTTTTGATATAGCCCCAGATCCCGGGACAACTGGTACCCCAGATCCTGGAACAACCACTTCCACGCAGTCTAGGACAACTGGTCCCCCAGATGCTGGAACAACTGGTTCCACGTATCCTACGACAACGGGTCCCCTAGATCCTGGAACAACTAGTACCACTCCTGTTTCTGCTGAATGTCCCGTGGTAAATGAATTGGAACGAATTAATTGCATCCCTGACCAGCCACCAACAAAGGTTTGAGTTATGAATTTTGTTTCCATTTCAGAATTTATGCAACTTGATAGTTTTTTTGTTTGTTTTCGTTTTGTTTTGGTTTTCTTCATTAGTGACTCTCAAGAGAGGTGTTTACGTTGCAGCCATTAGCCGCTCAGGCAAATTAACCTTTGTCCATGCTTGTATGACAGTGCAACTTCGGGAAAGGAAGACCTGGAATATTCCCTTGGGTTGCCAGATTCAGCAAATAAAAGTGTGGTTGCCCAGCCAAATTCAAATTTCAGAAAAACAATGAATCAGGTTTTAGTATAAGTGTGTCCCATGAAAGATTTTGGGCTTACTTACTAAAAATGTATTTGTCTTTTATATGGCAACACTACATGATTACTAGTTCTTTCTGCCTCTGTTCTTGCCCTGTATGTCTCTCCTTCTCCTTTCAGAATTTCCAAAGCTCATCTGGGATCTACAGTAAAAATTCGTACGCGTGCACAAAGCATTATTTAAAATAAGGGCAAAGTTTCAAGGGCTATGTTTTGGAATTACCTTATGCTATAAGGTAATTAATGCCAGATTAAAGATAGTGCAGACATCTGGGTATTTACTTTAGCCCAGTGTTTCTAGATTATCGGCTGAAGTCCAACTGATTATGATGATTGTAAAGTACTTTGCCCACACCCTATGTTTGTTGTGCGAAACTTACAGAAAGCTGATGCACACGCATTTACTTTCCCTGTCATATTGTGCAAGTTATTCAATAGCTCAATTGGGCTGTACTCAATAGCTCACTAATTACTTGGAAGCTCACCTAGATTATCACATTCTCAGTATGTCACACTACTGCAACACTCCATCTTGTTGTGGTATTGGTGAACTTCAGATACAGCAATAGTAATGGTTCTTTGGTGCTTTATTGTAAGATCTTTTGATAAGTACTATGGTATCAAGATTGAAGTTCAATAAATGATCTTTGACTTTTCTACGTGTCATACCCAACTGAATTACTCCATGACCTTGGCGTGTATTAATTGGCATGCTCCTTTTTTGCTCAGCCAGAGAGAAATACTGGCACTTTCAATGATTCATTTTCCTGTAGAAGGTACATCTTAGGCCTTTTGTTGTATGTTTCACGAATCCTGAGAGCTGTATGCTGATCCAGATTGTTGTTAAGAGCTGAAGCTATGGATAGTGATGTGTTTGTATGGCGTTCACATTAAAGGGAATATAGCTGAAAGAGGATGGTGGGAAGAAGTTATGAACACAACAGATAGGGTAGGCAGAATGTTCTGGTGTTGAAGACATTCCCATATAATTTTTTCATTCTTATTATCTGTCCTCCAAGATTATATGTAAAAGAACTAAAAGAATAACTTTCCCTACAGATGGTTCTTGGTTGTAAATACCATTGTTTCATTCTACCAATTATGGGAGGGAATCCTTTTCCAGTACAGAAGGAAGTAATGTATCAAGCCACCCTGACACCCTGAGTACTCTTGGGAGACTGTTCTTTGTCGAGAGAATGGACTCTAGGAGTCCCCTTCATGGATCTTAGAAAAAAAGATCACTCAATTATCTAACTGTAGTTCATGTCTTTAGTTCTCGGCTTGAAACTGGTTAGAGGGCATCTTCACTGAATCCCTTCCTATCACATCAGCTGAACTCATTACCTCCTCACCAAATCTGCTTTTCCTTCTCAGCTACCAGATTTCTGTTAGTAGTTCTATTAAGCTTCTAGTTCTTGAGGCAGAAACAGCAGAACTTCTGCTTGGCTCATCCCTTCTATCCCTTTGGCCAGTATTTCATGTATTTTAAAATATTTTCCTCAACAATATTTTCCAGAAGAGGCTTTTCATTTCCATTCTCTCTGCCATCCCTAGATCATCATTTCCTCATGCTTGGGTTGCTCCAGGTGCCCCCTGGCATCCCTTCTGAATTCCATTTCTCCCATCCATTCCGTTACATGAGGGATTAGAATTGCTCTTTTTTACATCCAACTTTTGTTGTTATTTCTACCCAACTCCAGTACATATAGTGGTTTATTACTGTATGTTGAGTCAAGTTCAAACACTGTCTTCTATCATCTAAGACCCTACCTCTGTGCCTCTATAGGTTCACTTAGGCTATACTTCTATGCAGATTTTAAAGACAACTCTCTACACTTATTCTGAACCTTTGAATTCTAAAATCCTTTCCACTTCCTTGATGAAGTCTTTTATCCCCAATTCCAGAACTCAGAGTTGAAAGATCCCATTGATGGCAGGGAGCAGGAATAGAACATTCTTTCTAAGGTCTCATTTTGTGCTTTCTCTTCATTCTGTTTATGTGCTAGTCCCCACCCCCACTCCTTCATAAACTTGTCTTTTTTCTTAATGTTTTGGATCGAGGATTTCCACACTCCCCCCAACTCCGACAATTTTGCTTCAGTACTGTTTTGGTAGTTACACATTCTATGTTATTTTGCTAGTTTCCCTTAAATGTTTAATTCTCATATCCAACTTACAGGGGCATTTTGTGTCCTGGGCCTAATTTCTTTGTGTGCACTAATTCTATGCATGCCATCATTTTCCATAGTTTCTTTCTAAATCTATTTTCCTAGGTTTTATATACTTTGTTTTCTCTTATTATGTGGGTCTTGCTCCATGTCTCTTCCCACTTCTTGCAATGGCTCAGCTCTACTGTAGAAGCTGGCATTTTTGACTTGGCCAACAAAGACTGTTTGCATTCCTTGCTCTTTTGGCCACTCTGATCTTTGTCCTTTCCAGTTTAATGGAAAAATTATTAAACTCCAGGCTGTATACAAAAACTGTTATGCTTAACACCCTCCCTTTCAACACTTTTTTCTTTTTATGCTGAGGTTTCATCTGAGTGGGTTTTACAAGAACAAAGACAAAACTGTGGATTGAGGTTGAGTTCACAGTGAAACCTGATCTTACAGCAGTATAAACCACGTATGGACATCATTGTTTATCCCTTATATTGGCTATTAGTGTAAAAAATAGCATTTGATTAAATTTCATTGTTCGTATAACTAAGCAAAACATTTTTTCTTACCATTTGCAAGGCTGTATTCTCCTGAAAATGTGCTTAGAGATACTCAACCCAGAGTATAGAAAAAAAAGAAATGGATAGTAAGAGAACTAAGTTATGTTCTTGCCTTTTCAATAGCTGAGTAACCTTTGGCAGGTCACTTTACCTTGGAGAAGCTTTATCACTCTGGGTCAAAGGTAATTTATCTGTAAAATGATCTGGCAGGAGATATTAGTTATCTATTGCTGTGTAATAAATTATGCCAACATTTAATGGCCTAATATGACAAATATTTTCTCACAGCTTCTGTAGTCAGACATCTGACCGTGGCTTAGCTAGGTGCCTCTGGCTCAGTGTCTCTTGGAAGGCTGTAGTCAAGATGTCTTCCAGGACTATGGGATGATTGTTTTCAAGCTCACTCATGCAGTTGTTGGCAGGATTCAGCTCTTCAGGTGTTGTTGGACTGAGAACCTCAGTTCCTTGTGGGCTGCTAGCTGGAGACCTCCCTCAGTTCCTTGCCATGTGAGCCCCTCCACAGTATGACAACTTGCCTCTCCCAGAACGAGGACTCCAACAGTGAAAGTGAAAGAGAGCAAGCAAGACAGAAGCTTCAATCTTTCTGTGATCTAATCTTGAAAGCAACATCTTGTTATTTTCTCTGGTTTCTGTTACTTGCAAATCACTTGATTCAGCGCACACTCAAGTGGAGAGAGTTCTTTGTTCTTTTTTGTATTTAACCTGGTTGCTTCTCCCAAATTAGTTGGTGTGAGAAAGAAACTATCTTCATTTTGGCCTCCACTTGATTCAGTCGTTAATTATGTTAGAAGGCACATACCTTTCTTAAGTAAGAATCTGTTTGGGTGTCAAGAAGGACTACTTTCTGCCTCTGGAGGAGTTGAGGAACTGTATACATGTCATATATCTCACATATGTATAATCCACATGAATGTAAGGCATATATTTAAAAGTCAAAACAACATTAGTTTGATTTGAAAGCTTCAGAATAGAATTGATTGCAAAGTCTTATTTTTAAAAGTCAAAGCAAATATAAATGAAACTCCATTTGTAATTTTGGATTACTGGTGATATAATTATATTATTGTTTAGACTCTTTAAATATGTTTGTGAGTTTTTTTGTGATAAAAGATACAAAATGCATTTTGCTTCCCATACTGTTACATAGGAAGGACACTGGTCAGAAAAATTGGTTATAGGTAGAAGCTCTGCCATTTCTTGGTATATGGCACAATTTATCTAAATATCAGTTGCCTTATTTGTAAATGAAGTTCTTGATACCGTAGTCTCAGATTAGATGTTTTATGCTTTATAAATGATCATGTTCTACGACTAAATGGAGCTTCTTTGACTAACCTGTTGTTTCAGGCCACATGTGACCAACGTGGCTGTTGCTGGAATCCCCAGGGAGCCGTAAGTGTTCCCTGGTGCTACTATTCCAAGAATCATAGCTACCACATGGAGGGCGACCTTGTAAACACAAATGCAGGTAAGCCAGAGTCTGCCATGATGCAGGAGGTCCAGACCCTCTGGAGGATGACTCTGTGTCCCCCAGAGGAGAGCTGGGGCAGCCTGCAGAGTTCTGCTCTGTGGGACCACATAACCACATGTGACAGAAGGTAGGCACTGCTCTTAATCAAGGACTAGAATCTATGTGGGCACCAAGGAAAAATTATTCTCTGCCTTGGGAGTTGAGGGGCCATGTCCTCTTTCCAGCTTCCCCATTATGGACCTTCATGACTGTGCAATAATCATTGATCATTTTTGTTTTCAAGTTTATCCCTTTTAAAGTGGGGGATTTGAAATCACTAACCTCTCAGACTACTTCTAACTCTTAATTTTGTGCTATTTTTATGAAATGAAAATAATTCCAATTTTATAAACATGTTGTGAAAGTCAATATAAGTGTTCATGGAGTGAGTAGCCCCTCTTCTTCCTCTTACTCTAAAATGCAGAGCATAGGCTGGGCGCAGTGACTCACACCTGTAATCCCAGCACTTTGGGAGGCTGAGATGGATGGATCATGTGAGGTCAGGAGTTTGAGACCAGCCTGGCCAACATGGCAAAACCCCATCTCTACTAAAAATACAAAAATTAGCGGGGTGTAGTGGCATGCGCCTGTAGTCGTGGCTACTCAGGAGGCTGAGGCAGGAGAATCACTTGAACCCAGGAGGCAGAGGTTGCAGTGACCTGAGATTGTGACACTGCACTCCAGCCTGGGTGACAGAGCTAGACTCCATCCAGCCACCACCCCACCCCCAAAAAATGCAGAACATAATGATGACCATTCTAGGGGATAGCAGAAGGTGACGCTTTAGGGAGGCTCTCAGTAGAAAGGAAGAGGCATGTTCCCCTTTCAGATGCTCTGGGCCTGATGGACTGTTCCAATAAGGTCTCAGCTTTCACCTGGTTTACCATTTAGTTAGGGAGATGGCATCAATGGATATAATCACCTATAATGCAATATGAAAATGACTGAGAAGGAATTGTGTATATGTATGTCAATTCTGAGAATGTAAAGGGAATCCGATTAACACCAAATGAGTGATGGGCTTGTGGTATGAGTGTTAGGCTTATTGGGGGAGGTTTTCAATCAGATTTTATAGAAGAGAGACAGATTTTTATATAATGTAATGGTGATATCTAGCGCCATAATCTGCCATAGATAGTATGTGCATATGATGGGGTATATGTCTGTCTTTTCCCTTCTTTTGAGAAATAAAGGCTTTTCATCAATCCCTTTGACATGTATCCTAATCTTTTTCTTTTTTTTTTTTTTTTGAAACGGAGTCTCACTCTGTTGTGTGGGCTAGAGTGCAGTGGCGTGATCTCGGCTCACTGCAATCTCTGCCTCCCGGGTTGAAGCAATTCTCCTGCCTCAGCCTCCGGAGTAGCTGGGATTACAGGCATGCACCACCATTCCCGGCTAATTTTTGTATTTTTAGTAGAGACGGGGTTTTGCCATGTTGGTCAGGCTGGTCTCGAACTCCTGACCTGGTGATCTACCCGCCTCGGCCTCCCAAAGTGCTGGGTTTACAGGTGTGAGCCACCGTACCCAGCCCCATGTATCCTAATTTTTATGTAGGTATTATTTGAGAATTTGCAGAGTCAACTATGACAACCTTTTTTTTTTTCTCCTGTGTTAGGATTCACAGCCCGGTTGAAAAATCTGCCTTCTTCACCCGTGTTCGGAAGCAATGTTGACAATGTTCTTCTCACAGCAGAATATCAGACGTCTAATCGTTTCCACTTTAAGGTTGTAATTTTTTTTTTTTTTAAGTTTTTTTTGAGAGACTTTTGTTCCCTATCTGATGACTGCACTTACTACAAAATAGAAAAATTTGCTACTGGAGGTATTTTTCTCTACTGTCGTTATTAATTGGCACCTGTATGTTAACAACATATACAGAATAGTTGTCCTTTAGTGTAACAAATGCAGGTAACACAAATGCAGGTAAGCCAGAATAATAACTTCCTGAATATGTATTATAGTTTACTAGTGAGTTTGGCTTTCATTTATTTACTCTAGATAACATGTGGAATGTGGTAGGAAGATAAAAGAAGGGATATCACAGCTTTCAATCCATCTTTGCAGATGTGCTGTGTATGTCTCTACCTAAAGACTAACTTATGCCCAGAGGTGAACCCTTTGAATTTGGTAACATAATGAGTACATCTACCTTAGATATGAGGTCAGTTTGATCAGTACCTGATTCCAGTATGGTAAGTAGGGATATTGGGAAGCTCTGACAAGTTTTTATTTTGGCTTTCCTTCTATTTCTATCTCTGGACAGTTGACTGACCAAACCAATAAAAGGTTTGAAGTACCCCACGAACATGTGCAGTCCTTCAGTGGAAATGCTGCTGCTTCTTTGACCTACCGAGTTGAAATCTCCAGAGAGCCATTTAGCATCAAAGTGACCAGAAGAAGCAACAATCGTGTTTTGTAAGTTTTGGAAACCTATCAAAGGATCAGAGTAAGAAGGTTACAGGGAGGTCTGTAAGCATGGAGAAGGGGGTGTTTCAACAATATTCCTGAAGGTTGTGAGACAATTATTAGTGATCAGACCCTTTACCTTCTAAAGTATATATTGTTTTCTGACTTTCTTTCTCTTTCTTCTGTTTGCACAATCATTTTTTTTCTCTTTAGTTTTCCCTTTATTTCCCTCCATCTATAATATATAATCAGCTGTCCACCAGTAAATATTTACTGAACATCTCCTATTGTAAGTATAGTGTTCTGGTCATGTGGTAGGCTGTCTGGTCTGGGAGTAGGAAATTTGCACATGGTCCCTTTCTTCAAGGAATCCTAATCTTTTGTTGTCCATAGAAAAATGTCACAGGATGGCAAATGGGACTGAATGAATGGGGGCTATTGAGTCATTGAGATATAAAGGATGCTTTTCCAAGCACTTACGTTCTCTCCACACCGCTTGCTCACCCATCCTTGTGTTCTCCACCTGTGTCTAGGTTTGACTCAAGCATTGGGCCCCTCCTGTTTGCCGACCAGTTCTTGCAGCTCTCCACCCGACTGCCTAGTGCTAATGTGTATGGCCTGGGAGAGCATGTGCACCAGCAGTACCGGCATGATATGAATTGGAAGACCTGGCCCATATTTAACAGGGACACAACTCCCAATGGAGTAAGCTTTCAGATGGGTCCCTTTCCACTGAATATCATAGTCTGATTCTTGAAGGTCACCTCTAGTATTACAGTGTAGTGTTTAAGAGTAAGAGTCTAGAGTGAGAATACCTGGCTTTGAATTCTAGTCTTGCTACTCACCAGTTACGTGGTTCTGGGTGTTACTTACCTCTCTGTCTTCAGTTTCTTATCTATAAAATGGAAGTAATGTCTCAATAGGGTAGTGGTGAGGATGAAATGAACTGATACATGTAAAGTTTCTAGAAGAATGGCTGCCAGAAGGAAAGTGCTCAGTAAATGCCAACTCCTTCATATTTTTCCTAACCAGATATGGAGAAGATTTTATTAATATCTGTACTCTGAACAACAGTTGATTGTGATCACCATACTTTTAGGTTCCCCTTTAATCACCGACTTACCAGGTTTATCAAAATAGGATAAAGTCTCAGCTAAAACAATCATTTTTTGTATAAAGAATGATTGTGGTAGTGAAAGAATAGACAGAGTTTAGTGTTATTGTTTTATTTTATTTCCACTTCTATTTGTTTTGACTGCTAAAATTTGAAATAACATTGTTTTCTGGATTTGGCAATACTCTATTGTTCAGGGCCTGCTTTTTTCTTTTCTTCTTCTTTCTTTTGTTGAGATGGGGTCTCACTGTTGCCCAGGCTGAAGTGCAGTGGCGCAACCATGACTCACTTTAGCCTCAACCTCCCTGGGCTCAGGTGACCCTCCCACCTCAGTGTCTGGAGTAGCTGAGACTAAAGGTGTGTGTCACCATGCCTGGCTAATTTTTTTTGTATTTTTTTGTAGAGACTGGTTTTTGCCATTTTATTCAGGCTGATCTCAAACTCCTGAACTCAAGCAATCCTCTGGCCTCGGTCTCCCCTAAGTGCTGGGATTACGAATGTGAGACACTGTGCCCGGCTGGGCTTTCTTGACTAAGCAGAATTAATGGATGGATGAAAGGAGATTACAGCAATAATTTATTAGTCAACAATTTGTGTATATATATATATTTCTATTTAGCCATAGAGTCTAGAAAATATAATAATTTCTTGTTAGACAAAACCGAGGTCCAGAGAAGCCAAATTAATAGCTCAAGGCAAAAGAGTTTGTAAGAACAAGAATGGCCTGAACCCGGGAGGCGGAGCTTGCAGTGAGCGGAGATCACGCCACTCCTCTCCAGCCTGGGCGACAGAGTGAGACTCCATCTCAAAAAAAAAAAAAAAAAAAAAAAAGGAAAAAAAAAAGAGTTTGTAAGAACAGAGGAAGAATCTAATCCCTTCTCTGTGTAGTTTTAAGCTCAGGCTCTGTACTGTACATATGCCTATCAGAAAAGTAGAAAAGCTGTTGAGTCAGAGCAACTTAACCTAGGAATAGTTGGTGACAATTGTTTCATTAAGGAGCCTCAGATCCTTGCTACTCAAAGTGTGTATGTAGCAGGGGAACCACCATGTGAGAGAGGTGGGCTTTCAGCCCCTTCTTCCGTCTATTGAATTAAAATCTGCATGTAGGGCCAGGAGTAGTGGCTCACGCCTGTAATCCTAACACTTTGGGAGGCTGAGGCAGTTGGATCATTTGAGGTCAGGAGTTCAAGATCAACCTGGTGAAACCCCATCTCTACTAAAAATGCAAAAAAACTAGCCGCGCATGGTGGCAGGTGCTTGTAGTCCCAGCTACTCAGGAGGCTGAGGCAGGAGAATGGTGTGAACCTGGGAGGTGGAGCTTGCAGTGAGCTGAGATCGTGACACTGCACTCCAGCCTGGGCAACAAAGCGAGACTCCGTCTCAAAAAAAAAAAAAAAACCACAAAATTAGCCAGGTGGTAGTGGCATGCACCTGTAATCCTAGCTACTCAGGAGGCTGAGGCAGGAGAATCACTTGAGCCTGGGAGGTGAAGGTTGCGGTGAGCCAAGATCACGCCAGTACACTCCAGTCTGGGCAACAGAGTGAGACCCTGTCTGAAAAAAAAAAAAAATCTGCATTTAGGTGCCCATGTAATTTGTGGATACACCAAATTTTGAGAAACACTTTTCCAAAGCAATAGTTATCAAATGTGACTACATGTTGGAGTTATCTGGGGAAATTAAAAAATAACAGCTATGTCTGCTTCTATCTCCAGGGATTCTATTTTAATTGGTCTGGCATGCAGTCTAGGTTGAGAACTCCTGTTCTGGAGTCTCGAAGACAAGCCTAGACTAGAGCTCCATCTAGCTACCTGATTCATATTAAGGCATATTAAGGCAGATGGAGCTTTTGCTGATGAGGTTAATTCAGGTTAAGACACGCCTCTTTGAGAGGGCAGCTTTTTTGAATTACGTTTTAAAAATTCCTATCCTCTTACCTTGTAAAAAACATCACAGCCTTCACATTCCTTCTGGATGAATGATCATAGCTGGCTCATTCTGTAAGAAAACACGAGTTCACTTGGTTAACATCAACTAGATATAGACCCCATCTTTTAAAAATGTGTCTTGATGACCATGAATTTCCTGTCAATTAGTTGCATGATTAGGACTGATTTCCTGAACCAACCGCACGCACAGTGTGGTGCTGAGACTTCTTGGTTGTAAATTTTGGTTTTTAATTATCTTTCTGCAGAACGGAACTAATTTGTATGGTGCGCAGACATTCTTCCTGTGTCTTGAAGATGCTAGTGGATTGTCCTTTGGGGTGTTTCTGATGAACAGCAATGCCATGGGTAAAGGACTATTCATGGAAAAAACAAGCGCAAGAGTGATTTTCAGTCCCTTCCTTACAGCACTATGATAAAAGGAATGGATCCCTTTAAGAGTGACTGAGACATAGTGTAGGGAGGGCCATATAGATTATCTAATTGTGCTATCCCTACTTTATTACCTGTTGATCCATGGTAGCCACGAGTAGGGGATTTTCTCCTAGCTTATGATTTTCCTGAATCTGGTGGCTTCTGTTGGAATATTTTCTGTTATCAAGTTGAGGGAGCTAACCCTTCCCTATAATTTGCTCTGAGATAGTTTCCACCAATATGTTCTTCTCCATCTTCAGCCTTTTCGTCAGTAGATCCCAGTGGCAATGAATTGCCACAGGGGAAGAGAAGGTGTATCAGAAGCTCCCAGGATTGATGGTGGGCATAGGGTATTGATCGATACCTTTTCTCAATTGAGAGTCATTGATTCAATCAGTGCTCCTCAAAGTGTGGTCCCTGACTGGGTCACAGATTGTTTCAGGTTTATAGTAAGATGAGTATAGAAATAGCGAGTGAGCAGTGCTATAGCCTCCACATGCACACATGAACCTTTTTCTAGTAATTCATTTTTCATGTTGTTTTATGAAAATATCAGCTTGCAGTGAAATGGAAATTAAACAAAATAAAGATCTGATTCTCCAACACAGATATCTGAGAAACACTCTAAATGATCTAAAATGATTCTAGGACATCTAAGAGATGAATCTAAGATGATTCTAATAGAATCTTAGATGATCCTAAGGTACTTGAAATGCCAAACAACCTAAGAATAGACTGAGATAATATAATACAAGGACTGTACAGTTTTAGATAGGTGAAAGGAACCAGAAAATAAGATGAGTCAGACTTAGTGGGCAAGGCCACAAGATCGTAGATACTCTGTATGAGTTGTTCCTATGACCAGAGAGTACATTGCAATATTTCTTGAGGCATTTTATTCCTGGATACAAATCAGTGTAATGACACAACTTTTGAGAATGGTGATTGGCACATAGTGGGATTTTGAATTTATGGCACAATTTCTGACTTTTTTTTTTTTTTGGTTTGGCTTTTGTTTGATGTGAGATTTACTGAGGATAGTTATGTCCATGTCTAGTTGAATTATATTCTCACAATAATGATGGGGTATGTGGTGGGACATGTTCTGTGGTTGTGAAAGTCAGAGAGGAAAAACTTTTCCTCTAACCTCTTAGGGTTAATTCTTGGGAGCCTGCAAATTAAACTGGCAAAAAGGTAGACTAGCTATAGAAAAGACAGAATTTATTTACACATGTAATGCGTATACACACAGGAGTTCTCAGTGATGAGTAACTCAAAGCAGAGATTAGAACTTGGGGCTTCTATACCATCTTAATTAATAGGTGAAAGGGAAGGAGGAAAGATGCTTAGGAGAGAACAAATGACGTTTTGGAAAGATAAATGGGCCCTTAGAAGATAGGTGGGAGAATGAGACAGTCTTGTGACACTGTCTATCTGGGAATGGTGCCTGTCATCTCAGAAAAGATTAGTGGTACTCCTTGGCGCAGATTTATGACAATTGCTTTTTATTGAGTTTTTTTGGGAGGCTATGCTTTTAGGCACATCAGGGATTTCAGTAACTTAAATGCCTTCAGTCCAAAATAATTTTTTTTATGTCACAGTGGCTTATTCTGGACCCCTTCATGAGCCTGGCTGCTTTTTCCCCAGAGCCTGGGGTCTGGCACAAGGCACTAAGACACTCCAGTCAGTATTATTAAAATCTGTCACAGAAAAAAATGCCTTGGCTGCCATGTGCTGTGAGGGTGGACTTGGTTGGTCAGGGTTTGTCCCTTGGTATTCAAGATGTGAGACACTAGGGTCACTTTGTTCATGTTCACATGGTTAGTGATCCTGCGTTATTTTAAAACTTGGTAGTTACTATTCAGTAATCAATTCTGATTTGTATTTTCTTCATTTTTAACCTTTCAAGAGGTTGTCCTTCAGCCCGCGCCAGCCATCACTTACCGCACCACTGGGGGCATTCTCGACTTCTATGTGTTCTTGGGAAACACTCCAGAGCAAGTTGTTCAGGAATATCTAGAGGTAAACTTAGGATGTCAAGATTGTGACTGAGGAAATCTTAAACAGCAAATATTTTATAAAAGTAAATTTCATGTGCAAGTGTGACCCACAAAATCTGCTGTTACAAATTTCAGATATTAAAGATCAGATTTCATATATGCAATGGAAACTTGCTGTATAGCATTTTTATGTTATAAGAAGGGGAGAGAATATACAGATGCCCCAAACATGGCCCTACCCTCAAACATTTATGAAGGGTTGGAAAAATAGACTAACATTCTAACATGAATGAATCAGTGCGTTGGGAAATGGACTATGTTTGGTGCTCTGAAAGCAATGCTTCAAAAGCTTTTTATTAAAAACAGAGTATTTGCTAATTTTCACTTCACATATTTCTTTCAGCTTATTGGGCGGCCAGCCCTTCCCTCCTACTGGGCACTTGGATTTCACCTCAGTCGTTATGAATATGGAACCTTAGACAACATGAGAGAAGTCGTGGAGAGAAATCGCGCAGTACAGCTCCCTTATGTAAGCAAGTCTTTCAATAGTTCTCCAAAAGTAAAGAAATTCCCTTGAAGAAAAAGAACAACTGTTTATATTTTCTTTCCCTGAGTTTAATTGATTTATTTATTTCGTAATGAAAGGAATTTTAGATACTCAGAATACTAGACTTTTTTTTTGTTGGACCAATCATTTTTTGAAGGAACCATAGTTCTTTATAGTATGAAATAGACTAGGAGACCGCAATTATGTGTTGGGAGGTAATCTGTTTTTGTCTCTATTTTTCTTATCGTGTATTTTATTAGTAAACATTTTGTGTGCTTACTGTATTGACTACATTTTACAGGTGTTTTTATTTGAGTTTTCAAGGTGTTTGTCTCTTCAGCTTGAATTGTAGCATTTTAATGCTTCTCAGTAGGGATTTTCTTGCCTTACATGTGTTCTTGGTTTGTTTTGACTCAAAAGTGTCATGGCAGGAACTTACCATAAAAGTTGTATCATAATTTTAGAAATTCCTCTAAGATTCTGGCATAAGATTTAATGTCTAAATTCTTAGGTTCTTAGGTTTAGTATCAGGTCATGAATGATGCAGATTCCCAGTCTCCCTACCTATGTTTTAACACATGTTTTAAAGAGGAATTGAGGAGGCAGAGTGGTTCTAGACCCCATGAATTTAGCTCAAAATAATTATATTACTGGAAGAACCATGAGCCATCTGGGTTAGCATCATTTTTTTCACAGATAGTAAATTGAGGCTGTCAGGGGAAATAACATGACCAAGACCGCATAGATAATTGATGACAGAACGAATACTCCATGACTACATGGATGTGAAAAATAATACAACAAGTTTCAGGTCCATGTGTTTTTACGTTGGTATTTTGATTACTATTAAATTGGGAATAAGCAGAATTTGCCTTTCTCTGTAGTGTGGTCATTTCACGATTGAAACCGAGCTTCAGTAGACATTTTGTAATTTGGCAGAAAGAGAGTTCATAAATATGAAGTGTAAAAGAAAGTGCTTAACGGAATTGAGATTCAAAAAGCCTAGGAACACTGAGGAGATGGGGGAAGCAGAAAGTCAGGGCAGATGAAGATGTTTGGGTCAATGAATCCACTCTCAGCCTAGATGCGGGTCCCACTACTCATTCTCCAGCACAACGTGGCTTTATACATGTGGGGGAGCTGAGGCAGGCAGATCACGAGGTGAGGAGTTCAAGCCCAGCCTGGCCAACACAGTGAAACCCCGTCTCTTCTAAAAATACAAAAAAAAAAAAAAAAAAAAAAAAAAAAGATTAGCTGGGTATGGTGGCAGGGGCCTGTAATCCCAGCTATTCGGGAAGCTGAGACACGAGAATCACTTGAACCCAGGAGGTGGAGGTTGCAATAAGCCAATATCATGCCACTATACTCCAGCCTGGGCAACAGAGCTGGACTCAGTCTTGAGGAAAATAAAACAAAAAACAAAACAAAAAAAAACTCCATTTAAGATTAGAAATCTCATTTAATATTAGAAAACCAGAGGAACTAGTTTTCAAGTCCAGATCTCTAACATCATAGTGGCCATCTCTTTTTTTATGCAATTTTCCTTACATGTAGATAGACATTTTCTTTTTAAGTGATCCAGGAAATGAAAGAATTGGACTATTACTGCTGCCTAGTGGTGTGAGATGTGAAAGGGAGTGTTTAGACAGGGAATTGAACACTATTACCTGAGTTCAGTATACATGTCAAAATCTGTCACTTTAAGTGAACGAAAAGGTATAGTATGGACATGTAATAAAATATTTTTGTACTTTGAATGGCTAACTTTGAATGTACCTATGATATTGGGTACTATTGGGCGTGAAATTTAACAAGAGATGCAAAGGGAAAAGCTCAGTAGTCTCTAGAATAATCCTCTTCTCTCCCCTGCTCTATTCCCTTGGAGACAGACCTAGGTTGTAGAGAAGGGTACATTTTATTCTGGGCTTCACTATGTTTATACAGGTAAAATTGGGATAGCATAAACAGCAAAGATGTGGGGTAGAAGTGAAGTAACAAAGTAAAATGTGGGGTAATAAAATGAGGGAGATGTGGGAGAGAGACAGTCTCTTCCCTTCTTTATCTTGTGAATAAGGTGAAATTTAGGTCATTTCTTAGGTGGATATGTCTGATTGTCTTAGGAGTTTGTCATAATTGGTGTTGTTTGCTTGATTGGTTTTTAATGCCAGAGTGCCAGGCAAGGATAGGATGATGCAGTTAACCTGATGGCAGGGATGAGGCCAAGCCCTAGAGAACCAACCAGTCATGTGTTTTTGAAATCACCGTTGGAAAAGAGGCACTCAGGTTCCAGGAACTGATTAAGAACTCTGTTTAGAGCCCAGAACAGAGTTGTTGTTTATCCTGAATAATCACAGTGAAAATTTGATTTCGTTTTACCATGGAAATTCCTAGGCGCTAATTGTGGACTTTGTATATTCTTTCAGGATGTTCAACATGCTGATATTGATTATATGGATGAGAGAAGGGACTTCACTTATGATCCAGTGAATTTTAAAGGCTTCCCTGAATTTGTCAATGACTTACACAAAAATGGACAGAAGCTTGTCATCATTGTGGTACGTACTGCCCTCTTTCCTCCAAATGAGGTATTTGCTCCTCTGTTTCATACACCCATCTCCTTTGCTTTCTCCCCAAGTTCCCAGTCTCCTTTTAGTGCCTCCAGCTTCCAGCTGGTTTCTTCATTGTATTCTTCCTCTTTTTAGGATCCAGCCATCTCCAACAACTCTTCCTCAAGTAAACCCTATGGCCCATATGACAGGGGTTCAGATATGAAGATATGGGTGAATAGTTCAGATGGAGTGACTCCACTCATTGGGGAGGTAACTTAATGGGAAAGCTGGAGGCTGGTAGAGGGGCTGCATAGAGGTGTGTGAATGTGTGTGTGTTTGTGCATGTAATTGTTTTATTGTACATTTTCTGTATATTTATATATTCTGGGAATAAATTCTCCTCTGCCCTTTCGTGCCCAAGTGCATGCCGGCCATCCTAGATTTTTGATTCCCTTCATAGCCAAGTCCCTTTAAACAACAGCTCACACACTGAATGTCCACTTTCTCACCTCCCACACACTCTGCAGCTGACTGTGGTCTCCTTTCTTCCCCCATCACTTCCCTGACACTGCTCTGGCAAAAAACACCCATTACTTTCTCATTGGTAAGTCCAGCGGAACTGTTTCATGCCTCTTCTTACTCAATTTTCCTGCAGTATTTGACAAGTGTACCCACTTCTTTCTCAAATGTTTGTTTGTCCTTGTTTCTTCAGGAAGGTGTTATCTGCTTGTTCACTTCTAAGGTCTCTGGTGACCTTTTCAGAGTGTAGTGTCTGGGGGAAATTGGACAGGAAAGAAAGAGAAAAGTGGATGATGTTAGAATCCACAGTTTATAATGGATTATAAAATCCAATAGCTGAAATTTACACAGTGCTCTTCCCCCATTTACTATTCCCAGAATTAAGAACAAAAAAAGTGTAGAGAGTTAAAGATGACTAAGTTAGACAATGCCTTTATCCACAAATTTATTCATTAAGGACTTAAACATTTTTTGAAATGCATTTTTCTTCAAGTGACCCTGACATTTATTTTAAATATTCTGAGCACTGCACCTTCCTAACTAAATAGGATGTGTTCCTGGGTACCTCGGTTGCTGTGATCATGTTAGGAATTTCTTTGCAAAGTACTTTATTTTATTCTGTATTTGTTTAATTTGCTCTTATCAGTGTTTTTCTTTTTCTCCTGAAGGTCTGGCCTGGACAAACTGTGTTTCCTGATTATACCAATCCCAACTGTGCTGTTTGGTGGACAAAGGAATTTGAACTTTTTCATAATCAAGTGGAGTTTGATGGAATCTGGATTGTGAGTTGTTTACACTTGGATTATTGGGTGACAAATATTCAGATTGTGTGTATCTGTATCTGTATCTTTGAGTCACGGAGCATAGGGAGAGGAGGAGGAGGAGAAGAAAGGAAGTATAGCAATCATTCTCAATATTCACTATCTTTCTATTCAAATAATCTTACTAAAACACATAGCTTAGAATAAAAATCAAAATGTTAGAGCTGAAAGGAAACTCAGAATTTTTTCCCCAAGTCTAGCTCTTTTTTTTTCTTCTCTCTCTTTCTTTCTTTCTTTCTTTTCTTTTTTCTCTCCCTTCCTTCCTTCCTTCCTTCCTTCCTTCCTTCCTTCCTTCCTTCCTTCCTTCCTTCCTTCTTTCTTTCTTTCTTTCTTTTTTCTTTCTTTCTTTCACAAAGGAATGAGCTGAACTCAGAACAGGTCATGTACTCCTTATCTTGTTTTAAAGTATACAAATTGTTCAATTGCTAGTTCAAGACTCTTCCATTTGGACATGTTGAACAAATTGATCAGAGCCAAAGCACTCAGGTGCTTGAACAAACTATGCCTGTGGTAAACAAAAATGTCTCATATGATGTCAGGTGAAAGAAAGTAACCCAGCCGAGGGTTAGCAAAATTTAGGGAGCTCCAGAGTTGAAACTTTTTCTTTTTCTAACAGAACTGTAGAAAATTCAAACAATACAGAGAGTTAAAAAGATAAAAGCAAAAATCCTCCGAAATTATAGCAACCGAAGACATTTATTATCGATATGTTAGAATGCATCTCTCTAGACCCTCATGTGCTCTCTCCCTCCTTTTCTTTCCATGTATATATGTTTATATGTATTTTTATGTGTATGTATTTACAGTTATATTTTGATATATGGAAAATGTATAAGTTGAAACATGTCATCATATAAATTGAAATTTTTCTCACCTGATATGTTTGGGAATTGTTCATTTTCAACAGTTATAGACATATTATTTGAAGAAATGTTAAGAACCTTCTTCATGAAGCCTTCAGTGGGTAGACAAGAACACCTACTCTGTTCCATATATATAAATACCCCCTTAAAATATCTGTAATAATTTATCTGATTAATTAAAAAAAGACACCATCAGTACATCATAAGATAACATGTTACTTTTTCTTAATAGTTTTTGCTCTTCATCTTGCAGGATATGAATGAAGTCTCCAACTTTGTTGATGGTTCGGTCTCAGGATGTTCCACAAACAACCTAAATAATCCCCCATTCACTCCCAGTAAGTCTTGGTGGTCAGCAGATTAAAGTAGCAATGTGTATTTTTCATATTATAAATTCATAAGGACAGATCCAAAAAATTTGACAAGGGAATTTGTTCATAAGTATGCATAGAAAAAGAAAAATGTCGGTAAGGAAAACTAGGAAGGAAAATAAAAACATGCTATGCTTTCCTAAAAGAGGCACAAATTCAAAAGGGGCAATGTAGTACTTCTACTTATAGTCAAAGCTATTTCTAGGGAAGATCTAGAGAGGATATGGTGTAGAGGCCAGAGGCTAGTGGTAAGTTTATGTCATTCCCAAGTATACACCCGCAGGCACCAAAGGGACACCAGGTAAACAGCCTTGGTCTTAAGGTGAGGGTCATGTCTGACATGTCCACAGTGTGAAGAACTGAGCCACAGGATGAAAAGACAGAACTCGTGACTTGGGAGGTCAAAGTCAGTGAACGTGATGATACCCAGCTTTGACTGAACTTTGGACAACAGTATCTCTTAGGGTGTGGCCTTGGAATCATAGGATTGGCCATAGTTTGAAGAATGCTGGAGGTTCAAGGACAAATTATATCTTGAGAAAGGAAAAAACTGCTAAGATGATAATAACTTATGAAGGCTTCAATATGGTGGGAAGAGAGGAAATTGGGGCAGGTAGGTTAGAATCAAATGCTAAGGGGCTTGGATAAGAGGCTAAACAGTTCATATTTTATCCTTTTGGTGTTAGAAGCTACTTGTCTTTTAGTAAGAGAGAAGCATGGTAGTCAGATGGTTTTGGAAATTTGAACCTGGCATTAATATATAGTGTGAACTAGAAATAGATACATGGGAGGTAAATAAGACATGATGAAGCTACTGCAATAGTTAAGGTCCACAGATAATGTGGATCTCAACCAGAGTGGTGCAATGGGAGCAGAGAGGAACAGATGAATACAGGAGAGACTGGAAATCATTCTCTAAAATACATGATCAGGGGAGAGAAGGAGTCAGAAATTAATTTACACTTTCATTCAGTATTTCTATTCTTGGACCACTTAACTTAGCTCAGTTTGGAGAATTCAGATTGAACCTCAGGGCTGACTGAATCTTCTTGCTTCCGAGTGTCTGCCTCTCATCACATGAGAGCTCGGGTGGGAGGATGTGTGTGAGTCAGCAGAATTCATTTATATGTCAGAGAAACTACTCCACGTGGATAGCGTTCTCATAGTGAGGGAGCAGTGTGACTGCAGGATGCCCACAAGAGTGTCTGCCTGGCGTGCTGTCATGTCGGATTGTGTGATAGTCAAGGAGCAGGAAATGTGCAACTTAGACTGTCGCTGATTGATCCTGCTTTGGTTTCAGGAGTCCTGGATGGGTACCTGTTCTGCAAGACTCTCTGTATGGATGCAGTGCAGCACTGGGGCAAGCAGTATGACGTTCACAATCTGTACGGCTACTCCATGGCGGTTGCCACAGCAGAGTAAGACCACTGTGGCTACGACCTGCTAATTATTGAATATAAATAGTATATATATATATGTTTTTAATTCTTGGAGATTATGGGGCTAATGCATAAAATTTCTTAAGACAAAACAAAGCAAAACAAAACATATTTAATGATACAGAATGCTCCCCACAGGGACTCTAATTGTACCGAAAGAGAGTTGGAAGAGAGTGGGTTATTCACTTTTAATGTCTTTGGTATTGTTTCTGTATCCCCTGGACTGAGACAAGCTAAGATCTCACACTGGCTCCTTAAATCTCTCTCCCTTTCTAGAGCTGTCAAGACTGTGTTCCCTAATAACAGAAGCTTCATTCTGACCCGTTCTACCTTTGCGGGTTCTGGCAAGTTTGCAGCACATTGGTTAGGAGACAACACCGCCACCTGGGATGACCTGCGATGGTCCATCCCTGGCGTCCTTGAGTTCAACCTTTTCGGCATCCCAATGGTGAGTTGCTACCTCAAGCTCTCTTATGAACCTGAATTCCCAGGTAGCCTCATTCTAGAAAGTTTTCAAGCTGCAAAGCTCCCCTCTCCTGCCTGCCATGGCTGGGAATTTAATGTCTTGAGAGCATGTGTTTCATACACATCAGCAGGGCTTTGATACCATACCATTCTTTCCTGTACTGCCTTATGAAGACAGAAGGTGTAACTTTGATCTTTCTATTAAAGTATAACATGTGTAACATACTTTATACAGAAAAGTGTATGTATCCTTAAGAATACAGCTGATGAATTTCACCAACTGAACACTTCTGTGTATCTAGTGCCGAGATGAAGAAGTATAGCATTGCCAGCACCCTACAGGCTTTGGCATTTTTTAGTTAAATCCAACATATTTATGAATTGAGCTCTTAGAATCTTCAAGGTCTTGAGCAGAGTAGGCATGGTGAGAGGGGAAGGAAAGCATAAATATAGTAAAGATGTACCTTCTCTTTGCCCCAAGGGTTTACAGTTTAGTAAGAGGAGACATATGTGTAAACAAATAATTATGACAAACTAGGGTAAAAAGACCAACAGGGACATAGGAGTTAAATGTTACGGGAGATCCCGGGAAAGGGTTTTATCTGACAAAATTATGAGGGACAAAAGGAATCAAGGCAGGAAGTCAAGAGACACTTTATGGAAAAGATGACATTTGAGATTAACCTTGAAAGGTGAGTATTTTTTCATCTGACTAATGAGGGGGGAAGTTCATTTTAACACTGAGAAATAAAAGTGAGCACAAACAGTAGAAGGGGGATTATTTGATATATCTATGAGGATTGCTGTGTGGGACTGGAATGAGAAATGATGCTAAAAAGATGGGTTGGAACCAGGTTTTAAAGATCTAAAAGAATGAACAGCAAGGAAGTCCTGGAGATTTTTTCATAGGTGAGTGACATGGTCAGAGTTAGGCTTTGGAAAAATAATACTGATAGTGGTGAGGTCAAAATAATAATATCAGCAGTATTATTAGGTACTATACATCCAAAAGCTCTTGTATGTAAAGTGTATTACTTTCATTATCTCACTCATTTACTAAATACCTGTGTAGTAATTTAATACTCACTGACAAAATGAGGAAATTGAGGCACAGAAGGATTGAGTAACTTACTCAAAGTCATCCGGCATTCAAGAGTGGACACAGGCTATGACCGAATTTTGACCACCCTCCTAGCCTTCTCAGTAAGAAGTTTAAGCAAGGTTTAGTTGGGAGGTCCCTGGTGGAAAGCAAAGGAAGGTGGTGGAAGGAAGTGAGGTATACCTGTTGTCTGTGTGTCCTTCCAGGTGGGTGCTGACATATGTGGCTTTGCCTTGGATGCCCCTGAGGAGCTCTGTAGGCGGTGGATGCAGTTGGGTGCATTTTATCCATTTTCTAGAAATCACAATGGCCAAGGCTTCAAGGTAAGGCTCCTAGGAAATAGAGTCAGAATGAATTTGGCGTACATTAGGACTAGATCTGTCTGCATCCTTGCCAAGAGATCTGCTGAACCAACCTCTTACCTGGTCTTCACTTACTCTGATTTGCACCATCATGTGCAGTTAACCAGAACCTGTGCTGTATCATAGAAATGTCCAATGGCCTCAGCCTGTTATTTACTGCTGCATTCAAGGAAATGGCGTGTCTGTAAAGGTCTTTCATCAAACTTCTGTACATTTTATTTACATTGTTTGCTTTTAAATAAGAAGCAAACAAGGAAATACTTCAAAATTATTTAAATTGCAGCCTCCCAAGAGAGGAATCTTAAAGAATGAGGGAGGCAGGATGAATTGAAAACCCAAGGAGAGACCCTTACTTGGTACTGCTCAGAAGCGAGGTTTGCAACCTTGGCCTCTGTCATTCAGGAGGGAAATTCTTGGTTGTGATGAATGAGGTCTGGAATTCTCAGGTGCTTCTGGTACCCTGCAGCCAAACCACAACTGCAAACTCCTATTTCCTCCCAGGACCAGGATCCTGCCTCCTTTGGAGCTGACTCCCTGCTGTTGAATTCCTCCAGGCACTACCTTAACATCCGCTATACTCTATTGCCCTACCTATACACCCTCTTCTTCCGTGCTCACAGCCGAGGGGACACGGTGGCCAGGCCCCTTTTGCATGAGTAAGTTCACCTAACCTCCTCTAATTTATTAATGCATCTGGAATGACATTGACTATATCATCAAATATCGGAGTGAAAACTGAAACAATTCGGGCAGTTATTCATATCTATCTATATCTATATCTGTAATCTATCTATCTCTATTCATTTATGTATCTAACTGGAATACCTAGTTGGTATTTGTAAACCTCGCCTGCTCCATTTTGGTGAGAGAATTAGACTAAAAGTCATGGGACTACAGGTCTTTTCTTTGTTCTGCCGCTCGCTAACTCACTCTGTAGCTTAGGAAAATCATTTTTTCTTTAGTTTCTTCAGTCTTAATTCGAAGGATTTGAAGTCTTGACTGTGGTGGTCTCGTCTGTAATGCGCTATAATGCCAGAACTATGTTCAAGCTGTAGGAATGAGCCTCTAATATAAATACAAATGAGGCTATTATAAAGGATTTGTGGAGTTTCAGAATTCTTATTTCTCAGGCAATGAACATCTCTAATTTAATTCTAAAACAAGGCACTTAAGAGCATTTTCTTGTCAAAATAGAGTCAACTCCCTTATGTGGGTGACATATGAGGCCCTCAGGCACATATCAAGCTATCATATATTCATTACTTTGGGAAGTTTTTGTCTGTTCATGAAATTTCTTTTTAAAAGGCAGATATCCTGAAAGAGAAAAAAGTGAAATGTTAAATTATCTGGTATATTTTATGATCAGATCCAGTTTCTTGATCGTCAGCTGAAGTTATGAAATGTATTGATTATTTAACTTAATTTTTTAATTTTAAATTTTTGTGGGTATATAGTAGTTGCATATATTTATGGGGTATATGAAATGGTTTTGACATAGGCATGCAATGTGAAATAAGAACATTATGGGAATGGGGTATCCATCCCCTCCAGCATTTATCCTTTCAGTTATAAAGAATCCAAGTATACTCTTTAAGTTACTTTTAAATGTACAATTAAGTTATTATTGACTATAGTCACCCTATTTTGCTATCAAACGGTAGGTTTTACTCATTCTTTTTAACTATTTTTTTTTGTATCTGTTAACCATCTTGACCTCCCTCCCAGCCCCTCACTATCCTTCCCAGCCTCTGGTAACCATCCTTGTACTCTCTGTATCCATAAATTCTTGGTTTTCAGATCCCACAAATAGATGAAAACATGTGATGTTTGTCTTTATATGCCTGGCTTGTTTCATGTAACATAATGATCTCCAGTTCTATCCATGTTGATGCAAATATCTAGATCTCAACTTACTTTTTTTAAAAAGGAGGGATATGGAAAATAGAATTACAGCCTGAGACCTGCTTAGCATACATACTTGATAGAAACATCTGTTTATCCTGAGGGAAGAATAGGAGACATAAGCTGGGGAAGGGGAATCTGTCCGGGGGTGCAGAGGGGCTTGAGTGGGTGTCACAGAATAATTTGGGAGGTTTACCCGGGCAGGCGACCTGTATGCTTTCAACAGGTTGTGAGTAGAACTGCGATAAATCTCATTGGCAGTGGCTCAAATCTCAGTGAACTGTCTCTCTGGTCTTCAGGTTCTATGAGGACAACAGCACTTGGGATGTGCACCAACAGTTCTTATGGGGGCCCGGCCTCCTCATCACTCCAGTTCTGGATGAAGTAAGTGTTCCCACAGAGATACACTAGGGATCTCCGCTTCTGTTCCTGCTGCCCTGCAAATTCCTCTCTCCTCCTTATTCCAAACTCATTTCTGATATCTGTGACTGAGTCAGCCTTGAAGAGAGTGTGCTAGGTTTTGAGAAGCTAGATATCTGGTAATTACACATTTTTCTTTCTAGAATTTTTTTTTTCCCTTGATCAAGTTCCCAACCAGTTTGGAAGCATCTACTGGAAACTCTAGATTTGAAAGTTATGTTAGGTTGTTCTTTCATTGCTATAAAGAAATTCCTGACACTGAGTAATTTACAAAGAAAAGAGATTTCATTGGCTTACAGTTCTGAAAGCTTTACAAGAAGCATGATGCTGGTATCTGCGCAGCTTCTAGGGAGGCCTCAGGAAGCTTACAGTCATGGAGGAAGGTGAAGGGGAACAGGGATGTCACATGGCAAAAGCAGGAACAAAAGAGAGAGTAGGGGGAGTTGCCACACACTTTTTTTTTTTTTTTTTTTGAGATGGAGTCTCACGCTGTCACCCAGGCTGGAGTGCAGTGGCACAATCCCAGCTCACTGCAACCTCCAACTCCCAGGTTCACACGATTCTCCTGCCTCAGCCTCCCGAGAAGCTGGGATTACAGGCACCTGCCACCATGCTCGGCTAATTTTGTATTTTTGTAGAGATGGGGTTTCATGTTAGCCAGGCTAGTCTCAAACTGCCAACCTCAGATGATCCACCTGCTTCGGCCTCCAAAGTGCTGAGATTACAAGCATGAGTCACTGTGCTCAGCTGCCGCACACTTTTAAACAACCAAATCTTTTAAGAATTCACTCACTATCGCCGGGACAGAACCAAGGGAATGATGTAAACCATTCATGAGAAATCCGCCCTCGTGATCCGGTCACCTGCCTCCACACTCCACCTCCAACACTGGGGATTACATTTCAGCGTGAGATTTGGGCAGAGACAAACATCCAAACTATATCAGGAGTGGTCCTATTTGTTTTTGGATTCTCATAGCAGATCCTGACTTGCTCCATGATGCAGAAACAGGATGGAGCAGTCCCGACACTCACTCTAAAGTCAGGCAGATCGGGATGTGATTGTTGTCTCTACCACTTTGAGCCTGTGTGATCAGGGGTGACAGCTGTACTGGCTTCTCATCTGTAGAGGTGTAATAATAATAATAATAATAATAATAGTACCTACCATTTGGGAACGTTGGGAAAATTGAATGATATAATCATGTAAAGCTGGAATGTTTGTCACCACACATGTTTTATTATTATTATTATTCCTAATGTGGCTACATTTGGGATTTCTCTCTGGGTTGCCAAGTTACAGCTTCTATTATTTGTCTTAGAGGAGAAGCAGAAGAAAGGCATAATAACAGAGGATGGAAAGGGCATTCCTGCCCTCTCTGTGTATGATTAAGAAGTTCCCTAGATAATAAAAAGAAATCCATTTTATTTCCCTCAGGGGATACTATACTGTTTTAATTTCAGGGTGCAGAGAAAGTGATGGCATATGTGCCTGATGCTGTCTGGTATGACTACGAGACTGTGAGTAGCTTTGACTTTTCTTCTACTCCTTAAGACTGTAGCTGCAGCTGCATAGACAAATTACCTTTCCCGAGAAAGAAACATCCATCTACCTGCTGTGGAGTATTTTTGTAGTGTTTTCTGTAATTTCATAGCAGAACCTGGGTAAAGTCAACCTAAATCCCTAACATTAGTCATGATGAAATGTGAAAAAATACCTTCATGTACTTTATTCAGCAATAAGATAGAGGCTGACAAAGTATCTCATAAATGAATATTGAAGGAACTGATGGACAACGTGAGCTTGGTCAGGAATCGGATTATTTGTTTAGAACTATCAGTTTATATAATATGTATCAAATAGCCTCAGCATGGCATAAATGTTTTCACAAACCCCCAACTGGTGGCAGAACATGTTATTCCTGATTTTTTTCCTTCTGTTGTTTGATTGCCTGGCTAGACCGTAATTCAGCTAATTGGAAAAGGGAGAGAATTGTGGATCACTCGGCACATAGATAATCAGTGAGGGCAATATGCTGTCATGCCAATGTGTTTCATTTATCTGCATGCGTCAGGGGAACCAAGTGAGATGGAGGAAGCAAAAAGTCGAAATGGAACTTCCTGGAGACAAAATTGGACTTCACCTTCGAGGAGGCTACATCTTTCCCACACAGCAGCCAAATACAACCACTGTGGCCAGGTATAGCATGGCTGGAGTGTCCTTTAAGAATTGATATCCTTCCTGAAACCCTTTGAATTTCTTTTTGAAACTAACAGCCAGGTGGTCAGCCTTTTTTGTTTGGCCAGGACTGTTGCAGTTTTAGCACCAAAATTCCCTTCCCTTGGGATACTTCTTGATTCTGGGCAAACCAGGTCAGTTGATCCCTCTGTCTATCCCTCTGTCTGCTTTGGCCACACTGTGCATCCATGTTTCTTTACTCTTGACTCACTTGTTCTCTTGTCTAGAGAGTCAAGATTCAATTTCCACTCTCCTAGAATTTCAACTTCGTATTTCTTTTCTCCCACTAAGTTTTCTTTCTTGTGATTCAAACATTACCTTCTGCAAACCTCAAATCTCCAAGTCACTGAATTTTCCTTTATACTTAATTGATTCCAAAACAATAGATTCCATCTGTACTAAAGAGGTACGCATTTATATCTTCATGCGTTTGAGAGTATTAGGCTACTTGTCTTTAGTAGACTAGGAGTTCTTTGGAAGCCAGAAACCTGTCTTTTCTTTTGAACCTCTCTTACTGCTTTAATTTTCCAAATTGTAGACTTTTTATGATGCTAATGGAAAATGTCCCTAAATCCAATACCAGTTGGCTTCCTTTTCGAATTGTTCACTTTCAAGCTGTTCTGCACAGTGATACCAAATTGATTTTTCCAAAATGAAAATCTTGACTGGTTGCTCCCAGGCTTTAAGTCCAAAGTCTTCTATTAATAGAGTATTTAAAACCAACCACAACCTGGTACATGTTACCTTAACAATTCTTATCTCCTACCATACCTTCATGTACATACAGACCAGCTATGCCAAAAGCCTGCTATTTCCCAGACATACCTATGTATTTTACTGCATTTGGGCTTTTGAATTTATCCTTTCCAACATCTTTGCCCTGGTGTATTCTTAATGATCTGAATGAAACTTACATTTCAGCAGCAAGAAATCTTTCCCTAATCTTCCAGCAGAGGAAGCACTGCCACTTCCAAGTTTCTGGTCATTTCATATATACATATATACATATATATACACACACACACACACACACACATATATATATATTTTGCTCCTTAGAAAATTTTGTCTTCCTTAATACTGTTAGCATTTCAATAATAGTTGTATACTCTGTGCTAGAAAATTTTATTATCTAAAATGTTTAGGGGAATCTAAGTCTATTGTTACTTACCTTTGCTGACTTTCTTTCATGTTGACTTATTACCTTGTGTGCTCGGTGATCTTATTTTTTTTTAAGCTATGATAACCTTATAAATGTGGGTGTCATTCCTCCAGAGATGATTTGCCTTCTCCTCTGTTTGCAAGCCAAGAATTGCTTCCAACTGGCATTACGTTAGCTTCCTTCAAGATCCCGGCTTCACGTGGGAATCAGAGGTTCACATTCTCTACCTTGGATTGCTAGGCTTAGTAGCCCAATTTTAACCTTGCTATGGGAATTTGCCGCATAGAGATTCCGGGTTTTGCTTACTAAGCACCGTTTTAGTTTTAGCTCAGTGTTTTGTTATCCTGTTACTGTTTTGGTCTCTTGGATATATTTCTTACTTTCTTGCAAATCCAACAATATTTTAACAGGAATATGTGTTGTTATTTATCTAGAATCAGGGAATATTTTACTGGGTAAGTCTCCAGAAGAATATCCAGTCCACCATATTTCTGGAACTGTGGTTCTGGACTCCTAGAATATGTTAACTTTTGTGTTGTGTTCACTGTCTGCTTCCATTTTTTTAATGAATGTGCCTAGTTTTTCTGGTAATATTTAAGACCATTCAGGTCAGGACTTGTGATTTATTAATTTTTGTATCTCATGGACTTCCTAGAAATGACTGCTACTCAATACATGAATATTTAATGAAAGCAGATGATTTTGTTGATAATAAAAACTAACTCTTGTATAGTGAAAGGCTGAACTATGAAATAATACAGTGGAGAATGTGAGTCCAGTGACAGACAGAGAAGAAACAAGAAGAGCAGGAAACTTGGAGGTTGCCTAGAGGAGTGGCAGAATGAGGAGCGATTCCAAATAAAAATTTCTCTCTCTCCCCCTCTTCCTCTCTGTCTGTCTACTTTACCATGTCTTTGAGTAATGTTTTGTGTTTTCTTATTCTAAATTATAAAGTAGATCATTAGAATGATTTGTTTTTCTTTCAAAAGAAACTAATACCTGATAATCAGATAAGTTACTACTAAATAGATGGACCTTATTGTATGTTGTTGATTTCTGGGTATAAATGGTCCTTAGGCAGGTGAAAATGTATCTTCCTCACAGCACTGGACACTTCTCCTGAGGGCATCATTGCTAAAATGATCTGACTGAACCAGTTATTGCCTAAGATTTCTTTCTCTTCTCATAGTCTGTATTCTAAGTAGTAGTTGCAGAAGCAGCTTTTGTTTGAGCTATTGAAGAGACTCTGGTGCTTAAATTCTTGCCTCCAACACAGATGTTATTGCTAATGTTTGGGGTATTTCTATCTCTTGTGACACTGTTGATATTAAAGATAGGGGCGCCTGTCAATTTTGTGTTTGTGCCTGAAGAAAAGCAGAACCATCTGCTGCTAGTAACTTTTTCATTTTGGAATTTGATGGAAACATTCTCAGCTCAGTTGGCAAAATTCTGACTCCTGTCTTTGTCTCTTGAATCTTGTTCCCCACAGTCGAAAGAACCCTCTTGGTCTTATCATTGCCCTAGATGAGAACAAAGAAGCAAAAGGAGAACTTTTCTGGGATGATGGGGAAACGAAGGGTGAGCACTGAAACGATCATGTTGCTGTTTCCAAACCCGCACCTGTGACTTATGGTCCTTCCCTCCTGCTGGTCATTGAGCTGTGGGAGAAATCTCAGCAGGCACAACAGCAAGAGTCACTGAAGTATTTTGTTTCTGGTTGCACCATTCAGAGGTAGTGGCAGATGACCTACAAAGGAAAGAAAAATACATTTCTATATCTGACAATTCTTCTATTGGCCAGTGATATCAATAATAGGCTCTCTTTTGTTTGTTTGTTTGTTTGCGGTGGAGTTTTGCTCTTGTCGCCCAGGCTGGAGTGCAGTGGCACAATTTCGGCTCACTGCAACCTCTGCCTCCCAGGCTTAAATGGTTCTCCTGCCTCAGCCTCCCTCATAACAAGGACTACAGGTGCCTACCACCACGCCCGGCTAATTTTTTGTATGTTTAGTAGAGACGAGCTTTCACCGTGTTAGCCAGGATGATCTCAGTCTCCTAAGCTCTTGATCTACCCGGCTCAGGCTCCCAAAGTGCTGGGATTATAGGCGTGAACCACCACACTTGGCCAATAGGCTCTCTTTTTATTGTCAATGGGTGCTTAGAACAGATGGTTTCAAGACTGTTCCTGTAATTCAGTGTTAATGTCTTCCTCCCAAAATTCTTACGAGCAAATGTTGGCGATATAAAAATCATGCCCCTGCCAATGAGTCAGTGAGAATATACTGTTGTAGTGTGTACTCACCTAGCCATACCTTTTAGTATTTGTGGGTCCAGTATACTACCAATTCCTGTGCTTCAAGTTTAGGAAACAGATTCCCTTGAGGCATACACCTTGGAAGCCTTTGGAAGGGAAGCTTTGCAATGTTCCAGTAGGAAAGAGAAGGAAAAACAATGGCTTGACCTTGGAGACTCTTGTCCATCTAATCCAATATGTAGATTTAAATATTTATTTATTTTTTCATTGCAAAATATTTAATTGGCAAATAAAGATGAAATATATCCAAAGTGGACAATGTGAGGGTTTACTATATATATAGGCATAGTATAATGATTATCACAGCTATTTTAAGGAGCACATCCATCACCATCCATACTGTAGACTGGATCCCCAGAACCTATTCATCTAATAACTAAAACTTTGTACCCTTGACCATCATCTCCCCATTTTCCACACCTGCAGGCTCTAAGAACAACTATTACATTGTCTGCTTCTAGGAGCTTAACTTTTTTAGATTTCACATGTAAGTGAGACCATGCAGTATTTGACTTTCTGTCTCTGGCTTGTTTCACTTCGTATAATGTCCTCTAGATTCAACTATGCTGTTGCAAATGGCAGAATTTTCTTCTTTTTGTGTCTGAATAATATTCTATTGTATATATGTACCACAATTTGTTTATTCATTCGTCTATTGAGGGACATTTAGGTTGTTTTCATATCTTTGCTACTGTGCAATGTAAAATTAAACACTTAAATGTAAGGGCTGAAATTGTGAAGCTCCTAGAAGGAAACAGGAAAAAACCTCCTTGACATTAGTCTTGGCAATGACTTTTTGGATATGATACCAAAATCAAAGGAAAAATAGCAAATAATAGCAAATAATAAACAAGCATGATTACATCAAACAAAAAGGCTTCTGCACAACAAAAGAAACAATCAACACAGTGAAAAGGCAAACTACAGAATGGATAAAAATGTTTGCAAACCATATATCTCAGAAGAGATTAACATAAAAAAATAAGGAACTTAGGCAACTCAGTAGCAAAACATCAAATGACCCAATTAAAAACTGGGTGAAGGACCTGAGCAGATGTTTTTCCAAGGAAAACATACAAGTGGTAACTGGTATGTGAAAAGATACTCAGCATCACTAAATGACACAGGAATGCAAGTCAAAAATCACAGTGAGATATCACCTCACACCTGTTAGCATGGAAATCATAAAAAAAATAAGAGATAAGTGCTGGCGAGGGTGTGGAGAAAAGGGAATTTTTTAGACTATTGGTGGGAGTGTAAATTGTTACAACTGTTATGGAAAATAGTTTGGAGGTTCCTCAAAAAATTAAAAACAGAACTTCCATACAATCTCATGAAATCCCACCTCTGGGTGTAGATCCAGAGGACATGAAATCAGTGTCTTTAAGAGAGATAGTCACTCCCACGTTCATTACGGCATTATGTGCAACAACCAAGATATAGAAACAATCTAATTGTACATTGATGAATGAATGAAGAAATGTGATACACATATAAAATTAAAAATTATTCATCCATAAAGTAAAGGAAAATTGCTATGTGCGGCCTCAAGACATAGCTGAAAGGAGTGGCAGGTGAAATCTTTTCTTCTGTGGTGGGAAGGCTAGAATATGACTTGTCTTTCTCTCACTTTCAGATACTGTGGCCAATAAAGTGTATCTTTTATGTGAGTTTTCTGTCACTCAAGTAAGTAGCATACTTTTATGAATCTTAGGTGTGGGCTTTGGACTGACCATTAGCACATCTGTGCTTGTGTATATTGTATATGCATGATTGTATTTGTAACTTTATATGCATTATTGGCTATAGGTGAGCACATTTCTATTTATGATTTCATAGATGTTTTGAAAAAGAGGGATTCATATAGCAAGTAGTGTTTTTAAATACAGTTTTTAAATGTCTGTGTTCTTATGATTGTTTTAAATTAGAGGATTATCAAAATAATTTTGTACTTCTTGAGCACACACTAGTAGAGAAAGCAGAGAGGCATTCAGGGCAGTGGGGGGTATCTGGTCTGGAATGGAATATTTGAGTGACTTGAGAATCTGTGTATTGCAGGCATACCTTTATGCATAATTGGACTTAATTGTTTTGCAGAACCGCTTGGAGGTGAATATTTCACAATCAACCTACAAGGACCCCAATAATTTAGCATTTAATGAGATTAAAATTCTTGGGACAGAAGAACCTAGTAATGTTACAGTGAAACACAGTGGTGTCCCAAGTCAGACTTCTCCTACAGTCACTTATGATTCTAACCTGAAGGTAAAACCCCATTTTGTTGAGATGGTGTATTGAGAATTCTTCATAGTATCATGGTGTTCCTTCTTGCCAAGGTTGCATGGGTTCCTGAAGGAACAGAGCAACTTTGAAGCCTGTTTTGGGGAAGTTAGAGGACTGGGGAAAAATATGAGGTGGCCAGAGCTAGAATGAGTTGGGTGTTTACCTTCTTGTTCTCTTCTCTGCCTCTCAATGTTCTCTCTCTAACTGGTTCCACTTCCTTTTCCCAAAAGTAGAATTATAATTATGATGAGACACAAGAAAAGCAGAGTTAGAAAAGTGGGGAACAGCCTTATATTATTAGCCTGTGAAAATTATATGACTGGAATAGCATAGATAAGATTCAGTTTTGAAAAAGAGGCTAGTTTGCATAGGAAACTTGTGGTCAGATTTTGGAGGGTCTTAGGTACCAACTTGATTTAATTGTCAAAGGGCCTCACGTTGATCCTTGAATGAAGGCTGTGCTACTGTGTGTGAGCATTGCTGGGAGTGGGAGTGGGTTTTGGGGACTAGTAGAACAGGGAAGTACAAGATGGTTTAGACTGGGAGGAGATTGGGAGAAGGATGATAATTTTAGAATGTGATTTTGTTACTCCAGACAAGTGAGAACTTTAACTTGGGAAGTGCTGTTTAAAGAAGTATCAAAGATAAGAAAAATATATAGAAAAATATTAAATATTAGAACTAATGGTATTAAAGGAAGTTTTCAAAATTGGAATCTTTGGGCTTAGAGAAATGAAGAGGCTGGGATGTTAGAAATGGAAAGAAATATAATTTTTTTTCAACTTTTCAATTTTGCTGTTGCTACAATTGAAACCCAAATAAATGAAACAAAATACCTGACCTACCCTGATGTGATTATTATGCATTGTATGCCTGAATCAACATATTTCATATAACCCATAAATATGTATACCTACTGTATACCCATTAAAATTAAAAATTAATAAAAGAAATCATTTGTCCAACATTCTACAGAAATGTGGGCATGTTGACTAGGTCATATGATTCTTAATGCTGTGTTCTTTCTACCACTCCACGCCAATGGGGGATACTGGTTTGGGGACTGGAGAGCAAGGGGATCAGCTCACTTTGGGTGACACCATGTGTCACGCTAAAGAGGAAGTGCAGAAGAGAGCCTTCCTGACAAGACACAGAGGGCTAAGAGGAGTCAGAGAAGAAAAGAATAAGGAGTGATCATGACAGGTTTTATTTGACCGAATTGTTTTCATTATGCTATGGACAACATTCTACTAGAGGGGAGACATTTGCCCTGTTGCTGCTAAGTAGATTCCCCCAATGTGCAGTTCTCTTCTTATGAGCTCAAGTCATACGTTGGTTGGATGGTTGAAACTCTGGTCTAATTTCTATTTTCTTTTTTCTTGAAAAACAAAAGCCTCAGATCTTGCAAGCCCTATCTCCTAAAGATGAATTTCCTTGTGATTTCTGCATTCTTACAGGTTGCCATTATCACAGACATCAATCTTCTCCTGGGAGAAGTGTACACAGTGGAGTGGGATATAAAGATAAGGGATGATGGAAAAATAGACTGTTACCCTGATGAGAATGGCGCTTCTGGAGAAAACTGTGCTGCCCGTGGCTGTATCTGGGAGGTAACCATGCTACTGGGGTTCATGTACATGAACATCCTCCACACCTAATCTCTAGTTTCTTAAGCATAGCAGTAGTACTTACATAAGTACTTAAAATCCATAGAAAGAAAGGACTTCTTAAGGGACATGATCTGGATATGAAGAGTAGTTGGGGACGTGTGTGAAACTTTTTGAAATGAATATTTTGCTTGGAGACCAGGAATTTAAATTTATGTTATTGCCAAGTGATCAGTGATGGGCTGGTTTTATTGTGGTATAAAATGATGTTTCTACCTCCGTTTAGGTTAGAGAACTTTAAGACCACATGCTGTGCTGATCTATGACTTTACCCTTACTTTTCAGGCATCCAATTCTTCTGGGGTCCCTGTTTGCTATTTTGTCAACGATCTATACTCTGTCAGTAATGTTCAATATAATTCACATGGGGCCACAGCTGACATCTCCTTAAAGTCTTCTGTGTATGCCAATGCCTTCCCCTCCACACCCGTGAACCCCCTTCGCCTGGATGTCACTTACCATAAGAATGAAATGCTGCAGTTCAAGGTAAACACATTACATGTATCAGGTGGTGACTTGACCCTTTTCAGTTCCATTACCTTTTGTTGGTCTGGGTCACAGAACCCTAAAATAAGTTAATCATGCTACCATAGACTAGATCATTATCCAGAGAGCATTGAGAAATCATTGAGGGAACAATGAGACCTGCCCTGATTTTCATTTGGAAAAGATTACTGTGGCTGCTGTTAGAAAAATGGTTGGGAGAGCAAGAGTGTACGCAGACAGACAAGTCAGGAGGCTACTAGTTAGGCGAGTCAGTTGAGGGATTAGGTTTGGACTAGACACTGGAATGCAGGTGGAGAAGAGTGGATCTGTCTGAGGTTGAGAAAGTTGGGTTACAGGATCTGGTGGTTGATTGCAAGCAGGTGACAATGGAGAGGGAAAATCAAGAATGATGACCGTGTTGGTATCTTACCTCTTAATATGGATGGTGCTGACATTAACTGGAATAGGAATACTGAAAAGGTTTGTGCTTGATCAATGTCAGATGATATGTTCATTTTGGGATACTGAATTTGAGATTTCTGTATATAGCCATCAGTATGCGGTAATTTCATTCCTTTCCAAGATTTAATTACATTTAAGGACTAGGAATGGGCCAGCTGTTATGTCTATTTCTCTATTAAACTAAGCTTCTCAAGGACAGGAATGTGCCTTTTCTTCTTTGTGCTTCTGAAATCGAATACAGAGCCTGGAAGATAGTTAGCGGTGTGATGTTATTGACACAGTAAGTGAAAGTGATCAAGACATTGTTGCATTGCCTGAAAGATTCTTTACAATCTGTCATCAACCCGAATTCTGAGTTCTTGTACATCCTCTAATGCAGGGAAGATGCTCTTGTATGTCTGTATCCTCATCATAGCACTAGCATGTTGTAGGCACCTAGTGGGTTTTAAATGAATGAACTTCCTTGGAGTTCTAGCCTTAACCATTGCCTACTTTACCTCTTGAACACAGAGTAGCTGTTTCCAAAATATTTGCCTGTTTCTGGCCCACATTTCTCTGTGGTTGTTATTCTTCACCAGTATGACTTGATCTCCTTTCTTTGTTTGGTTAATGCCTACCAAGCTTTTAAGACTCATCCTGTATTTCTCCCATGACACCATCTCAGTCTCCCAGAAACAATGTTAGGCATTTCCTTCCCTAGAATCTCACAGCACTTCTACATAGCTCTCCCTTAGCACACATCACCCAGGTGTTGTGAGCTGCTCTATTTTACTTCTCATCTGCTTGTGAATTTTGTAAAACCGTAGCACTTCCTTATTCAGCTCACATCCCTACTGTCTTGTGCAGTGTCAGGCAGTGATGTAGTAGGTACTCATGAGTCGGTTTAGATACCACCTTCAGCAAGAATGTTCTGATTATTTTAATCAAATAGATTTCATTTTGGGGAGACAGGTTTTTTTTTTTCAATTAAGAAAAATTTTCAGGTATTTGTATATACTCATATACCCCAGAAAATAAC